CCGCATCGCCCATGTATCGACGATGCGGCTCGATATGGAGCCCGTGTTTCCCCACGCCGACGTCGCCGATGCATCGCCGTCGTCGCCGATGCATCGCCAATGCATCGCCGATACATCGGCGATGCATTGGCGATGCGGCACGATCCAGGTGTCGGAAACAATCAAGCAACACGCACGCGTAACATCTGGTGTGAACTCGTCCCCCCTCCCCCCGAATGCAATGTTGGGCTCGGATCTCCCGAGTTTGAGTGTCGGACCAGTGATGCGTAGACGTGCCAACCTTGGATTGCGGGGGGAGGGGGAAGTGTTGTTTTGTTTTCCCTCAACCGTCCTTCGACCCCATCCACTCGGACCCCATCTAGGAGGCCTCCATACACGTATCCCCCACCTCGGGGATCGCGTGCACCGAAGAAGCCCTGAGGCAGCGGAGCACAGCGCGCACAGCAGGGGACCCCTCGCGGGGGTGGACCGCCCCACTGGGACAGCGTGCACCTCCGGAGATCGACGCGCGCTATTGTTGCAACGCCAGCCGCACATCCGGGTGTGGTGCGCAAAATGGGAGGTGGAGTCCCCTGCGCCCGCCGCAAGCCGGAAAGAAGAAGAAGCCGCCGACGCAGCAGCCGAAAGAATCGATCGAGGGCAGCCCGCATAATCCCAGCAAACCACCAAAAGACCGCCCGCAGCACACAGCAGCAAGAACGCAGGAGAAGAAAGACAGAAGCAGCAAAGTACAGCGAACGCTCGCAGCCGCCGCCGCCGACACTAAGCCGACATCCGCAGCACGCCGCACAAGACAGCCGAACGGCAGTCCTCCAGACGGACGCCGCCAGTCCCTCACCGACCGCCCACAGCCTTCTTCCAGCCTCTTCACCTCCGCTCCACGCCGCCTCCACTCCTCCTCATCACTCCGCGCCCTCACTCTCATCCCCGCCTCCGCCTCTCCTCCTCTCCTCCTCCTCCCTCCTCTCATCCTCCTCCCTCCCTCCTCCCTCCTCCTCCTCTTCCTCCCCTCCTCCACCTCCTCCTCCACCTCCTCCTCCTCCTCCTTCTCCTCCTCCTCCTCGGGTCGCCTACGGCCCCGGGGGAAACCGTGCAGCTCATCCCTCCTCGAAATCAAGCGCAAGTTTTGATCCGACCCCCTCGCCCCCGAACTTCCATGTTGATGGACGCGCGCAGCGCGGCCCGTGGGGTCGAGCAGAAAGTTGCGGTCGCCAGCGTCGGCGTCAACACTGAAAGTGGGGTCCGGGGGCGTCGCCGTGTCGTGGGAAGAGCTTGCGCTTGCTCTCGAGGAGGGCTGCAGCACCCCCGAGGTGGCGCAGCGCCATCAAGCTGGCCATGGAGGAGCACCGCCGCGCCGCCCAGGAGCAGTCCAACTGCCGCCCCGAGGCCCCGAGCGGCAGCCCGCCGGGCCCGGACGCGGGGAAGACCCGCCTCTGAGCGCCGGCCCGGCTCTCGGAGGAGCCTCGCCGGCCTGCCCGGGAGGAGGCCCTCCTGCCTCGCCAGACTGCCCGGCGTCGCCGCGGGGCATGAATGCGGGTCCCGAGGGGAGTTTGGGGTCCGACGGTCTTTCGCCGGGTTCGGGGCTTCGGGGCCTCTGCCACGGGCCCCAGGACCGTCAAAAAACGACTCGGGATGAGGCTCTCGTCCCGGGGGAAGGCCCCGGAGTCCAGGACCCGCTTCCCTCGGGATCCGTTTTTCCCCCATGCCAGCTTCTGCCGGCCAGGCTACCGGCCAAATTGCCCGGCTTACGTAACGGTGCTCCGTCCTCGTCGGGCGTTGCGCAATGGGCGGGGATCAATGGAGGAGGAGCAAGACAGTCGGCACAGACACGTGATCGTTTTCTTATTCATTGTGTTGCCGATCGGCGTGGGCCCTCGCAACCCCCGTTCCCCCCCCCATGGAGTAGATCTTGGCTGTTTGGGGCGCGTGTTTCGAGCAGGTAGACTCTACCCCATAGGCAGCACTGCTGCAAACAGTCGCATTGAGCAGAGGTCCAGAGCCAGACCCCCCCCCTCTCCGCCGAAGGTCGAAACGCCCAATAAGAAAATGTTCACCAGGTGCATGCCGGTCTCCCGGAAGTTGTGTGAAAACATGGGCAGTGAGGAGGGGAAGCAGAGAAGGTCCAGGAAGCACGGGGAAAGCATGAATCCTGGCATCTGTGTCGCGATCCTGGGCCCCGGTATCACGTGAGGGTGAAGCGCGAGGTGCACCTGCGAGGGGTCCTACAAGGGCCCCCATATTGGGCCCAAAAGGGACACGATAGGTGCACGTTGTTGCCTCCCCCCCTGACCCACGACGTCGTGTTTTTTTCACAACGTCGACCCCCAGAGGTCTGGACCCCTTCCCCTAGACCGGTTTTTCATCCTGAGCCGGTTTTTGACGGCCCCGAGGCCCACCGGAGGCCGAAAACGGCGAAAGACTTCCCGTCCTGAGTTTTGTTCACAACGCGACGGGGCCTGGGCCCCCCTCAGTAATCGCCCCCTCCCATTGTGCAACGCCCAGACTCGCAGTGCGGCTCCGACAAACGGAGCAGAGCACGGCTGCCTCTCGCGGAGCGGCTGCCCGCGGAACGCAGCGCAGCCGCCACCGAGGGGAGGCGCCAGGCATTTCAGTGGCTCGGACAACGAAGCTTCCCTCCCCACGCCTCCTTCCTCCTTCTCCTCCTCCGCCTCCTCCTCCTCCTCCTCCTCCTCCTCCTCATCATCCTCCTCCTCCTACTACTCTTCCTCCTCCTCCTCCTCCTCCTCCTCCTCCTCCTCCTCCTCCTCCTCCTCCTCCTCCTCCTCCTCCTCCTCCTCGGGGTCCTCCTCCCCACTCTTCCTTCCTCCTCCTCCACCCCACCCCCCCTCTTCACCACACGCCGCACCCTCCTGCTTCTTTCCTGCTCCTCCTCCCTCCGTCTCCGACCTCGTCGCTGCGCCTCTCCTGCACAGCGGCGCACGACATGCAACGACTGGCGTGCCCGAAGTGGTACCAGCACCGATCTGTGACGTACAGGCCCGGCGGTAGTTGATGCAAAATGTTCGGGCCTTCAGGATGTGTTTATGCTCACTCGCTTGCGTTGTTGCATGTTTGCTGTGATTGGTCCACCAGGGATCCCCATCCTCGCTGCGGGCGGGACACCGTTTGTCGGGGGATCTTGAGGTTGGCCATGCGGGCGTTCGAGTGAAGGCCAGGCGAAGATACTTGGTTTGATTTGATTGACCTCTGGGGGTCCAACGAGGTGGGCATCCGTTTTGTCGCATTCATCCCCGTCCTAATCGGTTATGCTTCCTCGGCCGACTGAACAGTTGGAGCTGCTGCAATTCCCAGGGCGATCCTTCGGACCAAGGAACTATCTCTTTTGTTCTCAGCCCAGTGGAGTGACTCCTATCCAGCGTTAAGTCGGGCCTGTCCCTCTACAGGAGGAAAATTCAAAAACAGTTTAAAAAATTGTATGGGGACGATTTTCTTAGTATTGCGAAGGCCTTACGGCCGGTGCCGCCGACCCTGAAGACGAAGCTGTCTGTGACGCCGTGAAGGCCGAAACGTCGTATATGCTAGAAATGTAAGTTTCCGATGGAAAAGGAATGAGTGTGGCCTCTTGGGCCCTTCTTGGGGGTGCTCTTGGAGGGGGCCTGGGACGTCTTGGAGGCTTCTTGGACGGTCTTGGGGCTATCTTGGGCGTCTTCGGCCGATCTTTGGGCGACTCGGGGTACTCTTGTGCCGTCTCGGGGGCCATCTTGGGCATTCGGACCTCATTTGGAGTGTTTTCGAGGTTTCGAGGCCGCCCGAGGAAAAACGAATATGCCCCCCTTTCTCCCCCCCCCCCACCCCACCCGGGGACCCCCCCCACCCCCCCCGGGACCCCCCCCCCCACCCCCCCCCCCACCCCACACCCGGACCCCCCCCCCCTGGGGAAGGGATCAAAGGGAAGGGGCTTCCCTTCGAATCGACAACGGCATGACGGCAGGAGGGTACGGCCCAAAAAGAAAAAAGGGGGAAGGAAGAAGGGAGGGCGGCGAGGAACGGACGAGGAAGCCCCTCGCAGACGCCGACAGGGTCGGCGGATTTTTGGGCATTGTTTGAACATCTGTTGGGTAGTTCAAATGTTTCGCCCGAAAGGCCCCTGGTAGGGGGACAGGCCCGACCTAAATCCAGCGGGCAGGGGCTCTGTGGCCCTGGCCCACCGTGCTGGACGGACAGTCGGGGCATGCCCATGCGGGTTGTCGTGGCGCCGTTGCTGAAACAGTGCGTCGGCACAGCTTGCCTGCCCTCGGCCACGCACAGCGGTCGCGCCTTGGCCTGTCCAGGCCCAGGGCGCTTCCTTCACGCAGGTTCACATGGACCTAGCTTGAACATGCCTTCCTTGGATTGCTGGTCCCACCTACCAGCTTGGCCGAGCTTTCTGGGTAAAGTGGCCGACCTTGTCTATTCCTGGCACACAGCTCGCCTTGGCCTACATCAGCCTAGTTGTTGAAAAGTGGTTGCCTCAGCACGCGAGGACACAGCGTTCGCAAGATGCGAGCGAGCCCCGAGGCCACGAAGGTATGTAATTGATTAGCCACATCGTGACTTTCTCACAGGATCTCTAGACAAAGAGTGATCAGCAGCCCCAGCATGCACGTATGTATAGGAGCCTCGGGTTTCGCGCCACATGCATGTCCTCTGTTCCGGATGCACGTCGAATTACCACCTTCGGGGCGAGATCCCCGAACAAGGCGGGTCAAATAGGCAAGCCCGCTGCGAAGTAGTACGTAAGGATACTGCTAGTGGTGGCATTAAGCCATGTGGGTACATTGGCTGAATGAATGTGTCTATATACATCCACCTGGGTATATGCATGTGGTCGGTCTTGTCGTATTCGTGTCTTGGCGCACCTTGTCGTTATCGCCATCATCGGCGCCGACATTCGAATAATGTTCAAATGTATGAAATTTGCAGCTCGCTTTCTTGCTCGTCAGCACGATCCCGCTCCAGTTCTCTCCATCACAGCCGTACTTGTCAATCTTGCCCCAAACAGGAACTCTCCACGGTGCCTTCTGCGCCCAATGCAGCGACCTCGGCAGCCTTTATCTGTGCGATTGGGATCCGGTCGCCGCGTTGTTTGATTGCAGTGGCGGAAGGGAAGGGCAAGAAGGAAAGATATGAGTAGAGAACGATGCACCTGTGAAAGAAGGAAGACTCCTTAATGCGAAGAGCAACGAGAGCTCTGAACAGGCAGTGTCCAGTGGCCTGCGACAAACGCAGCCACCGTGCCAGCGCGGAATCGGAGTGCAGGCATGGTATTTCTACCGCTGTTCCTGAGCAGGCTTGGCAGAATCATCATGAGGCCTTTTTGGAAGCGGCTCCACGGTGCTATATCGTGGCACCGCCGTAGCGTTGCATTGTCGTTGCGTTGCGCTGGCAGGGTCTTGGAGGGCTCTTGGGGCGTATTTGAAGCTTTGTGGAGGCCCCTTTTGGCTCTCTTGGGGGTCTTCGGTAGGCATTCTAGAATGCCACAACGTGCCGAAGGCGCGGTGGCGGATTCGGATGAATGGCCGAATTTGGAAAGCTTATTTGGAGTCGGTCAGGCTTCTTCTTCGACATGGCCACTCAACAAGAACGAGTTTCGCAACAGCAAGTGCATGATTGCGATGTGATGCTAAGATGGCGTTGCATGGGTCAAAAATTGCAGCCGAACGCGCACCCCCAGCCATGAATGCCCGCGATGCGGGCTGCCAGATGTCTGAGCAATTCTTGACCAGGGCGAGGCTGCCTGCTATCGGGATGCCTGCAGCAAACCCCATCACCGTGCCAGCGCAGCACCGACATCTGTGCAGGACGGGTCTTCCGAGCTTCCCTGAACAGGCTAGGCAGAAGCATATGTTAGGGGCTGTTTTGTGAGGCGGTGCTTCGATGATGCGGCCAGTCATGGCCGTAACGTTGCATGATCGCTGCGCTGCCTCCTGGGGGGCTTCTGGGAGGCTTGCTGGGGTTCTCTCTGGACTTTACGAGACCCTCTCGGGGGCCTCTCAGAGGATGGCAAGGTGAGACAACGGTAATTGGCCTTCGGGAGGCCCCCTCGTCGCCACGGCCGGGCGCAGCTCGGATAGATAGTGCGTTTGGACCCCGGGACGGGTGCACCCGTTGTGAGTTGCCGTCGTCTCAACTCGCCTTGCAGCGAGCCTGTTGGGACTTCCTAGAGGGCCTGGCCTGCTGGGCGTCCGGAAGCCATCTCGGGCGCCGTCGAGTTCTTCCGAAGAGGCTCGGTTGCCGCCCTGAGCGGGCTGTTTTGGGGGATGTCTTGGGGCTTCAGAGGCCTTCCCGAGACCACCTGAAGCCGAAAATCGATCAGAAAGGAAAATCGAAGAGCCAACGTTTTTTGGCGCATTTGGCCGCCTAGGATCTTGCTTGAGAGCGCCTTTGGCGAATATGTTGGCAACATTGGAAGATCTTTGGCGACGTCTTGGGCAACATCTTGGGGCCTCTGGGTTTCATTGAGCCGTCCAGGGCTGGTCATTCTAGTCGTCTTGGGGCGATCTTTGGCAGTCCTGGACCAATATTGACGCCGAGAACGGCATTGGGAGAAAAACAGTGAGCGCTCTTCTAGGTTCTAGGCAAGCAAGGTCGAGAGACGTAGAGAAATCCTAAGCGGCCCGGGGGGGGCGTTGCTCTTTCAAAGCGGCAGAAGCCCCACCAGCCAGCAGGCAGCCCAGCAGGCCCGAGCATGCCGAGGGCACGGCGGCACACGTGCTCGCTTCGGCCCAGGCGGCATGGAGCTGCACAGTGCAGCGCCGGGCCTCCACCCCTGTCGACCGGGGTTGCGGGTCTGCCTCGCGATCTCTTCTCACTTGGCCCGCGATGCGAACGGCACGCGCGCGAGCGAGTAGGGTCAGCGTCGAAGCAGAAGCACGGCGACGGCGATGGAAGGAGCCACGCCTGCCTGAGCTGTGCCCGGGCCGATTGCTGCGTGCCTGCTCCTGGGTGCGAGTTCGAGTTTTGCCGTGGGCTTGCCCAGGTCGTGCGAATGTAGCGCAGCCCGTGGAACCACCCGACGACCCAGTCAGATACCGGGGGCGCCAGGAAACGTGACTAACATAGACGAAGGCCCACCATAACATCAGCGATCCCACGAAAGAGCCTCTCTCGCGCAAATCCAAACAGGGGCGCATCGTCTTCGGTTCTGTTCTCCACATCGGGTTGCCTGTAGGAGTCCTCACTTAATCCTTGAAGAAATGGTCCACTGCTCCTCCCTCTTTTTGTTTGCTGATAGATTCGTAAACAAATGCGCATGGTTTTATCCAAACTATCCACGTTGCTTCTTCTGCTATCTGGATGGCTTCGTCTGCTGGAGTAGACGGGAGTAGAGCAGAGTGCAAGTAGAGCAGACTCAAGTTGGCCACGTCGCGGGAGTCAGATGGTCTCGCCTATTTCCCACTCTCCCTCCCGCCACATGAAGATGGACTGTGGCACGGAGCCTGGGCGAAGGCGACAGGTCGCCCACTTGCGCAGGCCTCCAAAAATTGGCGAGTGACAAATATGCGCCGCGCCGAGGCGGGAGCGCCACTTGCGGCGCTGAGGCGGGAGCGACACCTTCGCCCGCCCGCGCGTCGACGAAGTTGCCCCGCGCCCAAAAGAGGAGCCCAGCTCTCTGGAAGAATGAGCGTGGCGCCGAGCGACAGCAACATCTCCGCCATTCGAGCGGGCCGTGCGCCGCGACCCGGTCCCGACACGCATGTTGCATCGCGGGCGGCAGAAGGCCAATGCTGAGACAAATCGCGCTGAGGTTGATGCGATGCTTGCTAGGTAGGATGAGACCACCCAGTTCCAGGTGCTATCGGCCGGTTAGGTGGGAGAGTAGGGGTATACATTATATATATACATACATAGACATGTACATATACATATATATATATATATATAAACATATATATGTGTGCATGCGTGTATGCGTGCATGCGTGCATGCATGCATGCATGCATGCATGCATGCATGCATACATACATACATACATACATACATTCATACATACATACATACATATACACATACATACATACATGCATACATGCATATACACGAGTAGGGTCGAGTAGAGTAGAGCAGAGCAGAGTAGAGTAGAGTAGAGTAGAGTAACATAGAGTAGAGTAGGGCAGACTAGACTAGTATAAAGTAGAGTATAGTAGATAAGGGTTCGTCAAACTGTTCGCATGGTTATCCCTGCTATCCGCATGGTTTCGTCCAAGCTGTCCGCATGGTTTCATGCGCAGTCCGCATGGTTGCTCCTACTAGAGTACAGTAGGAGCAGAGTGGCGTAGTGTACGAGTACGGGCTATCTGCACGGCTTCGTCTGCTAGATTAGAATCGGAGGTACTAGAGTAGAGTAGAGTAGAGTAGAGTAGAGTGGAGTAGAATAGAGTAGAGTAGAGTAGAGTAGGAGTTGGGTGAAGCAGAGCAGGAGTAGAGTAGAGTAGGATAGGACTGGAGCTGCGTAGGAGTAGGAGTAGGGTGAAGCTAGCCAGGCCGCGTGGAGTAGAGTAGAGTAGAGTAGAGTAGAGCAGAGCAGAGCAGAGCAGAGAAGAAGTGGCGTTGAGTAGAGCAGGAGTAGAGTAGAATAGAGTACAGTAGAGTAGAGTCGATTAGGCGGTGCAGCAGAGTCGGGTATCCTAGAGTTGAGTAGGGTGTGATGGAGCAGGGCAGAGGAAACGTAGAAGAGAGTAAAATAAAGCAGAGTGGGCATATTAGCGTAAATTAGAGTAGAGTGGAGTCGAGTAGAGTACGGCATGATTGCGCAGAAAAGAGTAGAGTAGAGCAGTGTAGAGTAGAGTAGCGCAGAGCAGATCGAGCTTCTGAGGGTAGGGTCGGATAGCGTAGAGTAGAGTATTGGAGAGGAGGGGAGAGGAGAGGAGAGGAGCGGAGAGAGAGAGAGAGAGAGCATATCGAATGGCATTCGGCTTATCCCGACACCGTGCCAGGGTTGTGGGTCTGAGGCCTCGTGGATGGTTGTTGGGATCTCGTCGAGGCCCCTCGGGGGGCGCCTGAGGGCAGTTGTGATGCCGTGGGGGGCGGGTTTGGAACAGTTGGGGATCTCGTTGGGGCCTCGTGGCGGCCTCTTGGGCCCTCGTAGGGACTCGTGGGGGCCTCTTGGGCCGTCTTGGGGGGGTCCTATTGGGCCACGTTGGTACCCTCTTGGGGGCCTCTGGGGCCGCGTTGGGGCGTCGGAAGCTCGAAAAGTGGAGAACCTACAAAAAACAATGAAACGGCTCCAGGGAAAAATGGTTGGGGCCTCTCGGGGCCCTCCTGGGAAGGCTCTTGGAGGCACCTCAGGACGTCTTGGGCGCTTGTTTGGCCGACCGAGAGCCACCTCTGGCGCCTTGGAACGATCAGTCAGCGATTCGGGGCCCTCTTTGGGGCCATCTTGGGGCACGCCTGGCCAGTCTCGGGGCCCTCTTGGACCCGACACCGTCACGCGAGAGAACACGACAAGCCCCAGAGGGCCCGCGCAAAGCCCCAGGAGATGTGTGATCTGGGGGCCTCAGGTCCCTCAGAGGATCCTCGGGACTTAAGGACTGAGACTTGAGGAATCAGGCAAAGGAACTGAGGACACTTCAACTCGTGACTCAGGGCACGGTGGCGGATTAGAGGAGAATGCTGCAGGAGGGGAGTAGGGTCAGGTGCAGGAGCAGAGTAGAGTAGACTAGAGTAGATGAGGGTAGGGTGGAGTAGAGGAGGGTGAAGTAGAACCGAGTAGAGCAGAGTAGGTAAATGGTAGAGTATAGTCGGTAGAGTAGAGTAAAGTAGAGTAAAGTAGGGTAGAGCGGAGTGTAATAGAGTAGAAGAGAGAAGAGAAGAGAAGAGAAGAGAAGAGAAGAGAAGAGAAGAGAAGAGAAGAGAAGAGAAGAGAAGAGAAGAGAAGAGAAGAGAAGAGATGAGAAGAGAAGAGAAGAGAAGAGAAGAGAAGTTTAGTGAAGTGAAGTGAAGTGAAGTGAAGTGAAGTGAAGTGAAGTGAAGTGAAGTGAAGTGAAGTGAAGTGAAGTGAAGAGAAGAGAAGAGAAGAGAGGAGAAGAGAAGAGAAGAGTAGACTAGAGTAGTGTAGAAATAGGTGGAGTAGCGCAGAATAGAGTCGAGTAGAGCAGAATAGAGTAGATTAGAGTATCATCATCCGCATCAGCATCACATCATCATCATCATCGCATGAGACAGACTGGCTGAAGGCAGTCCGCTGTCAGCGCGCCTAGTCAGACCAGTCCAGTCAGGTCCAATCCAGGCCAGACCGTACCAGTCCAGTCCATCTCAACCCAAGTGTAATGTCACGCAAGCTCAATCTGGTCCAAACAATTCCAGTCCAGTTTTTCCAAGCCAGTCCAGTCCAGCATTTCCCAGTCCAGTTCAGTCATTTCCAGTCCACGCTACGTCAGTCCACTCCAGTCCACGTCGTTTTAGTATTATGATACATTTGGCGTCTGCCCTGGTTGATATTATACATGTGAACGGACTTTCCGCCCACTTGGGGGGGGATTTTCACTCTTCACGCTGCTCCGTGGTCACCCTATCGTGACCCCTCCCTAACCTGGCCAGGACCCCAAAGACCTCGCGGCTCTCGTGGGATGTTCACGGATGAGCGCGGCCGATCTCAATCCCCATGTGTCGTTTGAGATTGCAAAATGTGTTGGGCATCCCTCCCCCCAAGAGCCCAGATCAGTTTTGATAAACAAAGGCGTTGCCAAAATATGATGTCGTTTAGTGTGCGAGTGTGTATGCGGCGTCCCACCCAAGGTGCATCAAGACAGACAGCAACAGCCCCAGACGGGACCGAGACGAGCTGCATGAGGTCTCCCCGTGGAGCACCGATTGGCACGCGACTCCTCCTCTCCGTCGCGAGACCGACCTGGATTTGGGCCCAGATTGTAAGATGAGTTTTTCAATTGCGCTTTGCACGCCAGATTCCGCATGACCCGTTCCGCCAGTGCTGCGCGTGCGCTACCAGTCAAAACAGCTTTCTAGGGACCTAAAGAGAACCACCTAGAGAGTATCATAGAGTACGCAGAGTCGTGCACAACCGTATATACACACAAGATGTTGCCGGTTCGCTTGGCTTCGTCTTTGGAAGATTGGTCGCACGGCGCCAGAGAGGCGCGCCGTGGCCGCTAGTCGCCAGCGCAGCGGTGCGCTTTGGCGATGACGCCTATGAAGCTCTGGGGCTGATGGGACTGATGGGGCGCAGTACCTTACAGAGCTCATGGGACTCTGAAGCTCCATTTGGGCCCAGGGACTCGTAAATCGAATTCGGCCATGGGAGCCACAGGACTGGCGAAACTCGTTGGGGTCATAGGGCCCCTGGGACTCGCTGGCCGAATTTTGGTTCTGGGCGTCATCACGCCGACGGGGTCGTGAGGCTCAGGCTCGCAGGGCTGCTCACATGGGCGCACGGGCGCTGAGCTCCTCACGGGCTCTCTGCAGGATGTTCGTGGCTCGTCTTGGCCAAGGTGGCCGCAAGGATCGCGGGGTTGCACGAGGCGCGAAGTTCAAGGGCCCGTGCGGTTCACGGGGCAGCAGGCCCCGCAGGGCTCACGGGGCGCAGGTTGCCCGTAGGGCCCGGGGGGGCTCACGTGGCTCGGGGGGCTCATGGGGCAATGAGCCCACGACGCTCGTGGGGGCTCAGGGGTCTCACAGGGCTCGTACCGGGTTCTGCGGCTCGTGGGGCCCATGGGACTCACGGGGCTCGGAAGGGGCCACAGGGCTCATAGGGCCAGTGGAGAGCCCGTGGGCCTCGCGGCACGGGGAGGGGGGAGCTCGGGCACAGGAAGGTCGATGAATGTGGTTCGAGGCGCCCGCGCGTTGCAACTATGCAGCAGGAGCAGGAGCAGGAGGAGGAGGAGGAGGAGGAGAAGGAGGAGGAGGAGGAGGAGGAGGAGGAGAGGAGGAGGACATGAGGCTCGTAGGGCTTATAGGGCGCATGAGGCTCAGATTGGTCGTAGGACTCGTGGAACCCGAAGGGCGCATATGGCTCACATGGCGTTATAGGGACCTTGAGGCGTATGAGACTTCAAGGGCTCGGGGTGCCAGCGGGACTCATAGGGCTCGCAGGGCGCAGGGCCCACGACGCCCATAGCGCTTATAGGGCTCACAGGGCCCATCGAACAAGCGGGACTGAGAGAACTCTCAGTGCCCATGCTCAGAGGGCCAGCGGCGCCGTGACGCCCATTGCGTCCATAGGGCTCATGGGCTCATGGGGCCCATAGGGCTCGAACGGCACATGAGGCGCATAGGGTGCATAGTTTGCATGAGCCTCTGGCGCTCCAACAAAGGAGGAGGAAGGGAACGAGCGTGGTGAGGAAGAGGAGGGAGAGGATAAGAGAAGGTAGGAAAGCGGCGGCCTCTATGACTGACTTATGTGGGTCTTTGGCGGGGCCTTTCGGGGGGCCTCCTGGAAGCGTTTATGGCCGTTGGGGGGGCTCACAACGCCTGTAGGGCCCACCTGATCATAGAGCCCGTGGGGCTCATGCCGTTCTCGAGGCTCTTAAGGAGCATAGGGCTCATGACCCTCATAGGGCCCAGGAGAAGAGGAGGAGGAAGGTGAGGAATGTGATGATGATGAGGAGGAGGAGGAGGAGGAAGAGGAGGAGGAGCAGGAGCAGGAGAAGGAGGGGAGGAGGAGGAGGAGGAGGAGGAGGAGGAAGAGGAGGAAGAAGAGGAGGAGGAGGAGAAGGAGGAGGAGGCGAAAGCCCCGGTGGCGCACGCCGCACAGCAGCAGCATCGGGCTCGTAGGCCTCATGCGGGTCATGGCGCTCATGCAAAGCCGGAGGTATAGGAGAAGAGGGTGGTGAGAAGTAGCGGGGAGAGCAGTAAGGTGGCGTATGGAAGAGGAGGGGAAAAGAAACAGTGAAAGAGGAGTGGAAGAGAAGCAAGAAGGAGCAAGGGGAAAGTGGGCAGAATGCGGCAAAGCAGATGGCGAAGAGGAGGGGGGAGCAGGGAAGGAGGGGCCAAAAGGAGAGAAGGAGGATGAGGTGAAGAGGAGGAGGAGGAGGAGGAGGAGGAGAAATAAGTAACAAAGCAGGAGGAGGAGAAGAAGGAAGTGGAGGGGGAGCGCGGGACTTTCGCCGACTCTGCACTTCCAGCATCGTTTCTCGGTGTCGGCATCCAAGGGTAATTTTCGAGTCCCGGGGGTGTCAGAAACTGCTCGTTGAGGCATGTGAGGCGCCCGTAGTTTCTCGTCCGCCCCTCTCTCTTGGAGGTAGCGGTGAAGTCTCGTGGGGGCCGTTCGGAGGCCTCTTGGGCCTGCGCTTGGTCCTCGTGGGGACCTCTCGGGGCAGCCTTCGGCCGTCTGGGACGCCTCCTGGGCCGTCCTGGGGCAGCTTGGGCGTTCTTGGGCCGTTTGGGGTCCCTATCTGGGTCCCCTTGTCTGAAAGATACGCAGGAGTAAGCTTGAGCAGCAGCTGTCTCCTGCCCGTCTGCCCTGCCCGTTCCACCGCCACCCTCGGCTCAAGGCGAGGGAGGGCGGGATTCTTTCTGACAGAGCCTGGCCGTGCCAGGCAGACCGCGCACACTACAGCGCGGCCGTTCATATCGTGGACAAAAGGTGTTCACTGACAATTATCGAGATAATTGACATCTACACACACTTTCTCTCGCTCTTCCTCATCGTCACCAGCGTGAGCGATCTTGAGGACGAGCTCTAGTAATCAGATTGGTAGCGGAGCCTGTGGTCTCCGACAACCACGGGCTCCCACCGGTCTCGGCCTGAATGGCGACTTCAGCCGCCAGCGGGCCACCTACGACGCGCGTCGACGTCCCGTCATGGAACGGCGAGGCAGACAAGTTGACGAGCTACAAGTTTGAGGTCTCCATGTTCACCAAGAGCATCAAGACTGCGGAGCGCTACGTGTGCGGCCCGCAGCTGGTGCGCGCCCTCGGGGCGCGAGTCCGGACGACGGTGGAGAGCTGCCCGGACATCGACACGGTCGACGAGATCGACAAGGATGGAGTTTTGATTGGTTGGAACAAAGTGTTTCAGTACGTATTGGAGAAGCTGGACTTCACCAGCCTGAATGATACGGGCCTCCTCGCGGAGGAGTTCTTCCTGAAGGTCAGCCGGAACTCGGGCGAGACCTTCCAGGACTGGGCCGCCAGATTCGAGAAGAAGGAGCGGGAGCTGTTGGTGCAGCTCCAAGTCATTGATTCCAGCGTGACGGAAGTGATTGCGAAGCCTCTTCGGACTTGGTGGTTCCTTCGGAAGTCCAAGCTACCCCCTGTTCAACGTGGAGAGATCACCGCCACTGCGGGTGGCGACCTCAACTTTGGCAAGACATACAAGGCGCTGCTCACGCGCTTCCCGGCGGAGGCACTGGCGGAGCTCGACGGCAAGCAGCACCGTAAGGCCTTCTATGAGGACACGCACGTCGACGACGTTGAGGACGAGACTGGTGGTGAAGATATTGATTTCACAGAGGTTGTCGAGCAGCTGATCACCCTCGCTGAAGAAGATGAAGAAGAGGAGCCAGCTGACGACAACCCAGCGGACAACGAGGTGTTCGCAGAGTTCAAGCAGGTGGGCAGGAGCTTCAAGGACGCCCGCGACCTGATCCGACGCCTTCGAGTGTCCCGCGACTACTACCCGGTCGTGTCGCTCAAGGACCCCGATCGCGTGCCCCCGCCTCCGAACCCAGGACGAGGCTTCCAGCGTGGCCGTGGCAAGAACGGTCGAGGCCGCGCTCGCTTCGACACGGGCAAGGGACGTGACATGTCCAAGATGAAGTGCATCGCGCGCGGCGAATATGGTCATCGAGCGGCGGACTGCAGCGAGAGGTTCAAGAAAGATAATACGAGGGATGGAGCTCGTGGGACTACTCACAACGGCTTCGTCCTGTCCGCCATCGACGAGTACCTCTACCTCCTGGAGCGCGACGGCATCTGTGCGATCCTCGACATCGGGGCCACGAAGAGCCTCGGCGGCCTCGAGAGCGTCGAGAACCTCATGTACGAGATGCTGGACCAGCACGGCCAGGAGTTCGAGACGACACATGACGAGTGCTCATTCACCTTCGGCGACGGCCTCCAGAAGAGCTCGATGGGCACGGTGAAGGGGAACGCGTTCCTCGGCGGCGACCTGACCGAGGTCAAGCTGTCTGTGATGCCGAACCGCGTGCCGATCCTCCTGGGCATGGACATTCTGACTGACTCGCTGAAGGTGGTGGTCGACTGCGGCCGGAACTGGATCGGCCTTCCGACCATGGGCAACAAGGTGTTCTTCTGCGAGCGCCTCTCGAGCAACCATCTGGCCGTCAACCTGACGACGCCGCAGTGGTGGAAGGAGGTGCCGCTTTCCCTGCCGAGTGCCGGGTGCCTGACGTCCGAAGCGACGGCGCCTGATGTTCTGGTCGAGGAGCTGCCCGAAGAGGCCGCTCCGTGCAGCTGCTGCCCTGCGGTACGCTAGGGACAGCGCCCCCTGATGGTGGCAGCAGAAGAGAAGTTATCTCGATTGCCAACTTCATCATCGGGGGGGCCACACCGACTCGGTCACCGCGAGTCCGAAACACCTACCAGAGCGACGGAAACCTCGGCGGCGCGGACACCTACCAGAGCGACGGAAACTGCGACACGGAGCGGATCGACTCGAGCGACAGAAACCTCGATTTCGTTCGGACGGACGGTCAGGTCATCCGACCGGCTCCCTTCATCATCACCGTCGATCGGGACATCATCACAGTCAAGAGGACCGTTAGCAAGCAAGCCTCAGGATCAAAATATGGAAAAGCAAAGCGATGAGCCAGCACAATACCATCGGTGTTCATCATCATGCTGTTCGCAGCCACCTTCGGCTCAGTTCATCAACTCGGCAATAGCCTCAACCAGCAGTCTTTCACGACCTCCATATTCTTCCCAGGCCGCCACTGGCCGCTTGGATGACATGCAGCGACGGTTCTTTGGCTGGGCAATCCTCGGAGCAACAGCCGCCACCTGTGCCTGCGGCCCGCCCCGAGTGGAGCCGCCCTCGCACGAGGGGATCGACAACTTCGGCTCCAGCGACCCCGACGCCAGCATCAGCAGCAACACCAGCTACTCCGGCGCTACCAGCGAAGTGGTACAACCCAGTGGGGGAGTGCGGCTGCTGCGGAGCTCTGGGGAAGACCAAACGCGGGTGCAGCTGCTTCGGGGGCAAGAGCCACCAGTGCCTCAAGACCCCACAGCAGGGAGCACCCGGGACACCAGCAGCGGCATCAGCAGCGGCAGCCAGCAGCGCCCCACCGAGTCCAGCGGGGGCTCGGCCAGTGACGAGACCTCCGAAGTCCGCGTGCTCCTGCTGCGGGACCCTCGGGAAGACGATTCGGGGGTGCAGCTGCCGCGGAGGCAAGAGCCACACGTGTACGAAGGCGACGGAGGTGACCATCCGGGAGCAGGCAGTGGCTCTACGCTGGCGGCGTCTGTCCAACAAGCTGAACTCCCCGGAGGTGCAGGGGGGCTGGAAGTTCACTCCGGAGATGCTCGACGACTCGGAACTGCCGGAGATGGACTCGAAGAGGAAACGCTGAGGCATCTCGACGACCAGGATCTCAAGATGTTCTACGAGAGCCACGACAAGGTCCTGGACGAGATCTACCAGACCATCGCCGAGGACCTGACGGAGCTCGGCAGGCCCTACCGCATCGACCTGATGGAGGTGTGCTGTCCGGAGGACTCGAGCCTCAGCAAGGCCGTGCAGGACCAGGGAGGCAAAGTGTTCAGGTGCGGCCTCTTCAATGGGATCGACATGGGAACGGCAACCGGGCTTCGACGCGCGCTTCACCTTCTCCGACGACTCCGACCGCGCCGCTTGGTTCTCAGCCCGCCATGTACAGCAGACTGCCCGATCCAGAATCTCAACCAGAAGACAGTTCAGCAGAAGGCCACGTATCTGGCGAAGGTGCGCAAGGCCCGACGGATCCAGCGGAACTGCAAGAGCCTCTGGGAAGACTCGAAGAAGATTCACGACTGCCACACCGAGCTCGAACAGCCAGCTTCCAGCCGAAGCTGGACCAGGTCGCCCTCGATCAAGGCGATGCGCGACTAGATGCACGAGACGATCATCCATGGCTGTGCGCATGGGCTTCGCGAAGCTCGTTCCGGCCTGCTGATGAGGAAGGCATGGCGCATATGCTCGACAGACCCGGAGTTCGGCGCTAAGCTCGGCAGGACGTGCTCCAACCGCCCTGGCAGGGGCGACAACCACACACACCGCTCCATCGAGGACGGACAGGTGGTGGCCCAGACGGCCTTTTACCCACCAGCACTGTGCAAGGCCTGGGCAAAGCATATCCTGAAGACGAACACCAGCGCGAGGTACGGCAAGGAGATCTTCACCAACTTGGAACAGATCCCAGAGGACGCTGAAGAGGAGATGGAGGAGGCCCTCGACGAGGACCTCTTGCAGGATAACCCCGAGGCCATGGACGACGAGTCGGTCATGAAGGGCCTGGGCATCTCCGAGACACCGACCAAGAAGGAGGAGCTGGAGATAGAGCAACGGCTGACGCGGCTCCACCGCAACCTCGGCCACCCGAGCAACAAGACGCTGTACAAGATCCTCAAGGCATCGGGAGCACCTCTCCAGGTCCTACGAGCAGCTCTTCGCCTCCAGTGTCACGCCTGCCACGCGGGACAACTACCAAAAGCCGTAAGGGTCGCCTCGGGCATCGAGTTGCCAGGCGTCCTAGAGGTGCTGGCCTCCGACGGGCTCGAGTGGCTCTCGCCGAAGCAGGACTCCTTCCTGATGACGTTGAACATCGACGAGGGATCCGGGCTCACCAGCGTCACCTATCATGGACAGAAGGGAGAGCGCAATGGCAACAGATCGACTCAGGAGGTGATTTCAACATGGAATGACTGGTGCGGACACTACCGCCGCCCCAGCCTTCTCCGTCTGGACCCCGAAGGTTGTCATCGTTCACAAGCAGTGGCCAGGTGGTGTTCGGACCGCGGCATCGAGTAGTGGATTGCCCCGGGCGAGGCCCACTGGCTGATGGGCAAGGTCGAGAGGCGCATCCAGCTCTTCAAGCGACTGATGACGAAGCTGGCAACGCTGGACCCCGACTGCCCGGTCGAGGAGTTGGTGTCCTGGGCCGTGAGCGCGATCAACAGCATGGACAAGGTCGGCAACCACTCCCCGTTCGAGCACGTGATGGGCGTCTCTGGGATGCCGGCCTCGAGCAACCCGTTCGCCATCATTGACGGGGACACCGGGGAGACTCAGGAGCAGAGGCGCCTCCTCGCGCGCAAAAGCTTCCTGGAAGTAGAGTATGCTGAGCGTCGTCGACACGCCGAACAGGCCCGCAACCGGGTCTATCAGACCTGGAATCCGGGGGACCTCGTCTACTTCTGGCGCAAAGGGAAAGGCCTTGACCCTCGCCCTGGGAAGAAGGGCGGATGGTACGGCCCTGCTCGTGTCCTTGCTCAGGAAAAACGACACGTGGACGGGCGCACCCGTCCTACCTCGGTCATCTGGATCTCCCACGGGAGCGTGCTCATCAGGTGCGCCCCGGAGCAGCTGCGCGTCGCCTCGGAGGCAGAGAAGATGATCGTTGAATTGCAGCGGCAGAGCAACCTTGGCAAGACCATGACGGAGATCTTGGAGACAGCCAAGGGCGGTACCTATGAAGACCTTCTCGGACAAAATCCTCCAGACCTCCGAGAATACGAGCCTCCACCGCAGCCGACGATGGAGATTCCCGCGACCGAGGGCCAGACTCTCGAGAACAACAGCGAGGCGGGACTCCCCTCAGGCGCCGACAACGACACACCCGGCGCTCCTGATTTCTCCAGGCCACCAACACCAAGCTCAGCGACGCAACCTGAAGTGGAACCGAGTGAACCAGATGTCCGACGGTCCCGGTCACCACCGGCTCGTGCAGCTGACCGGTCAGCAGCCCCATCACGAACGCCAGGGAAAGCATCTACCTCAGCGGCAGTCAGGACGGAGTCTCGAACAGCATCGCGTCCGCCTCCCGCGACCTCGACCTCATCGGCGGCCGGTGCCGCACCCCGAGGCGAGTCGAGACCTCGATGGCGCATGTCACACCGCGGACCAGAGCTCGATCTGCACGCACCGCCGGAGAAGCGACAGAAAGGCGCCGACGAGGAGATGGCCGACGCGCTGCTCGACAGCAACCACCTGGTCGACCTCTTCAAGGACAAGCTGGACATCACCCTCGGCATCGACGAACAGCAGACCGTCTACTTCGAGTACTTGCAGGACGAGAATACCACTCCAGACGGACGCCGAGGTTTGATGAGCCACATCCTGGACAGCTTCGTCGTCAACCAGCGCCGGAAGGACAAGGTGGAGCTGACCTGGTCCAAGATGAACGCCACCGAGCGTGAGGAGTTCGAGGCGGCCATCGCCAAGGAGACGAACAACTGGGTCCAGCATCAGGGACTTCGCGCTGTCCCGATATCTCGGGTCAAGGACGCGGCGGACGTCATCCGGGCAAGGTGGCTCTTCACCCGCAAGTCCGATGGGAAGGCGAAGGCCCGGCTCGTCCTCCTCGGCTACCAGACGAAGGACCTAGGACAGGAGCCGACAGCCAGCCCCACCGCGTCTCGGCGCGCCCGTCACGTGATGCTAACAGTGGCCGCCGCGAACCGCTGGAAGCTCATCAAGGGCGACGTCACCTCCGCCTTTCTGCAGGCCCACGACCTCGACAAGGACCTCTTCATCGAGCCAGACGCCGTCCTCAGAAAGGCCTTCCACGTGCAGGAAGGGGAAATCCTCCAGGTCGTGAAACCTGGATATGGGATCGGCGAGGCGCCCCGGCACTGGTGGGAGACGGTCAAGCACGACTTTGCGAAACTTCGACTCCAAGCCTGCGAGTTGGAGCCCTGCCTCTGGAAAGCACGATGTTCCAGGACGGGCATGCTCATCGGTATGATCATGGCCCACGTCGACGACTTCATCATGGCAGGAGATACCTCCCACCCTGAGTGGCAGGACATGGTCAAGCAGATCCGAGGGCTCTACAAGTGGGGCACCTGGGAGGACATGAATGACGGGCTCACCTCTCTCGAACAGTGCGGCGTCACCCTCGAGGAGAGCGAGCAGGGCTTTTTCCTCCACCAGAAGTCGTACATCGACAAGATCAAGGAGGTCAAGGCGGCCAGCGGCAGTAAGCATCGGACCACCGACAGCCTCAAGGACTCTGACAAGACGGTGCTCAGGGCGTTCTGCGGCGAGATCTACTGGCTTGGCGTGAATACCATGCCATTTCTTTTATCGTGGGTAGCCGACCTCCAGATGAAGATACCAGCAGGTACCCACAACCTCTTCACGGCCGCTAACAACATCGTCAAGCTCGTCAAGCAGAGCCGCCACATGGGGATCAGGATCTACCGGCACGCCCTGGACGACCTCGCCATCTTCACCTGGTGCGACGCAGCCTGGGCCAGCCGCCCGGATGGACACTCCCAGGGTGGTCATATCACCGCTATCTCCTCCAAGGCGGCCATGGACGGGAAGCTCTCCGAGTTTACGGTCCTCGACTGGGGCTCCAAGAAGCTGCGCCGCGTGGCTCGGTCAAGCCTGGCGGCGGAGGTGCAGGAAGCCGGCGACGCCGAAGGCGAACAGAGCATGGTGCGACTGGTACTTGCCGAACTTCTACACAATATGTCTCCACTGCAAGATACCGCAGCAGCACTACGACGATTACCAGCCATCCTGGTGACGGACTGCAAGGCCTTCTACGACGGCGTGGTGCGATCTCAGTCGGCGGGACTGGGACTGGAAGAGCGGAGGACAGCCATCGAGGCTTTGGCTCTCCGCAATGCCTTGGACGAGGGTCAAACGGTCGTGCGCTGGGTTCACTCACACGCACAGATCGCCGACGGCCTCACCAAGGCAAGCTGGCAGGCATTCGGAGTGGTCCGGGCCTTCCTCGAGAAGCAGCAGTGGCGCCTCATCTACGACGAGCATTTCATGAGCGCTCGCAAGCGGGCAGCTCTTGGCAAGGGCATTTTCGACGAGACGGACCCGACCGACCCGGCCTCAGCTCGTCAGGTACTCGAGGAGCGTAGGTTGGCCCGCCAGGCACAACCACCAGCCAGCATGGAAGGGAACCCTTCCAGCTCGACGACCTCTACTGGGTTCTCGGCCTCCGAATCCCTGATCATGATCCAGAAGTTGCAGCAGGAGATCGAGGCCCATCAGAAGTTCGTCCAGCAGCACACTCGGAGCGCAGAGATTGCCTGCGCGCACGGTACAGGGCAGAACCTTTTTCCCCCTGTCTGAAAGATACGCAGGAGTAAGCTTGAGCAGCAGCTGTCTCCTGCCCGTCTGCCCTGCCCGTTCCACCGCCACCCTCGGCTCAAGGCGAGGGAGGGCGGGATTCTTTCTGACAGAGCCTGGCCGTGCCAGGCAGACCGCGCACACTACAGCGCGGCCGTTCATATCGTGGACAAAAGGTGTTCACTGACAATTATCGAGATAATTGACATCTACACACACTTTCTCTCGCTCTTCCTCATCGTCACCAGCGTGAGCGATCTTGAGGACGAGCTCTAGTAATCAGACCTTGGGGCTTTCTTGGGCCGTCTTGGGTGCAGCTCGGGCTGTCCTGGGGCCGTCTTGGGCCGTCTTCGGGCCTTCTTGCGGGTTCTTTGGGCCATCTTGAGGCGATCTTGAGGTATTCGTGGACCGTCTCGGACGGCGGTGCGAAACAAAAGTGGAAGGTTCAAAAATATGAGCTGCTCTCAAGGATTGGCACGAAGTTCACTCTTTCAGCCCCTCTTGGGGGCCCTCTTGGAATCTTCTGGGAGCGTCTGGGGGGGCTTACTGGTCCGTCTTCAGGCCGTTGCGGAAGTCGTGAGGCGCTCTTGGGCCGTCTCGAAGGTGCGTGGAAGCCTCTTGGGGAGCCATTGGGAACCCTCTGGGGGCCTCCTGTGGGCCTGCGATGGGGCCTTCCCGGCGCCTACGGACCGCCCCGTCTAGCATTTCTGTACCCGGGGGGGGTCACCCAGGGCTTTCCGATACGAGAGTGCACGAAGATTATATATATATATATATGTGCAAACATACATATACATATACATATACATGTACATATACATATACATATACATATACATCTAAATATACATATACCTATACATATACATATGCATATACATATACATGTACATGTACATGTACATGTGCATGTGCATATACATATACATATACATATACATACACATACACGTACATATACACATACACATACACATACACATACATCTACACATGCACATACACATACACATACACATACACATACACATACACATACACATACATACCTACATACATGCATGCATGCATGCATGCATGCATACATACAGACAGACAGACAGACAGACAGACAGACAGCCAGACATCTTTACATACCTACAGACAGACACAGACACGGACAGACAGACAGCCAGACAGAGACAGAGAGACAGACAGACAGACAGACAGACAGACAGACAGACAGACAGACAGACAGACAGAAATACAGACATACCTACGGACATACCTACACACATACAAGACTGCATTGGCGCTTCGCGCGTGACCGCTTGCTTCAGAAGAGCGGATCTCGAGGTCTGGACGGGCGACCTGTTCAGTTTTCAGATGTCTTTGGTGCCTGCAGTCAACGTGTTTGCCCAAAGCGCTCGCGCGCTTCTGCGCAGGAGAGGGGAGGATATAATGTTCTTACGCGCGAAAGTTGCCAGCACACGACGAAGCACCAAACTCTTGCGATGGCACCTGTCCATGAACGGCGAACGGGAGAGGAGCAGGGAGGAGGGGGAGCTGAGAGGGCGGAAGGAGAGAGGAGGGAGGGAGAAACGAGGAGAAGGTCCAGGGGAAAAACGAGGATAAGGGGACCCAGGGGAAGGAGAGAGGGAGAAACGAGGAGAAGGTCCAAGGGAAGGAGTGCAAGGAGGGAGGGAGAAACGAGGAGAAGGTCCGGGGGAAGGAGTGGGCGAATGAGGAAGGCCAGAGGAAGCCACGTCGAAGCTCTGGGGTGTATCCTTACCCGTTCCTTCCTCTTCCTGTCCTCGTCTTCTCCTCGTCCTCCGTTGGCTCAGCTCCTCCCGAGAGGAAAGCAGGGAGCGTCCGAACGCGCTCGCAGCGAACTCGCACAATTCCCAGACACGCCGACGAGGTCGCAGTGGCTCCGAGCAGGCTCGATCGGCGGGCCCTCTGCTTGGTGAGCGCTTCCCGAAGCGCAGGGCGCCTTCGCGAGGCCTCCGCGGGCCCTTTGGGAGCACCGTCGGGCGAACCACGGGACCGTCTTGGGCCGCTATGAACCCAGACTTCCTCGCGCTGTGAAAAAATCACGGCGGGAGGTTTTTGGTTGTTTTCGGCCTCTGGGGGCCCTTATCGGGCCTCGGGACTGTCAAGAAACGATTGAGGACGAGAAACCGGTCCCCGGGACAAGGTCCAGACTTCTGGGGGTCGACGTTGTGAAAAAAACACGACGTCGGGGGTCTGGGAAGCTTCCTTTTCTTGAAGCCCTCTTGGGGCCGTGTGGGCCCGTGTTGGGGCTCCTGGCGACACTCCAGACCTCCGCCTAGGGGAGGCGTGTGGAATAAATCGGGTCGTCTCTTGGGAAGTCTCTCGGAAGCCAGTCCGGGGCCGTCGAAGAGTCGTGCAGAAGGCGTTCGGTGCCACCTGGGGGGCCTTTTTGAAGGCCCGATTTGGGCCTTCTGGGAGCGCCTTGGAGCGTCGTAGGGTTTTTGTTCGGGGCATCTTGGCGTGAGCCATGGGCGGAGGCCCCGAAATGTGAGCTCGAGTCGTCTCTCGCAGGGCATTCAGGGACCTCGTGGGGCTCTTTTGGGCCGTCTTGGCTGCCTCTTGGATCGTTTTGGGGCCCTCTTGGCCTGTCGTGGGGCCATCTGGGCATCATGGGTCGTCTTGGGGGCGTTCAGGTATTTATCGACGGCATTCCGTCCGCACAAGCAAGGGTGATGAAAATTCACGTGTGTTCGCAGGGGCAAGGGGCGATTTGTGCTTCGTGAGGTGCTGACATGTATTTCAGCTTGCGTTTGGAAGGAAGGCCTTCTGAGAGTCGTCGTCGGGCATTTGTAAGGAGGCGTAAGGGGCCGCATGGGGCCTTCGCGGCGCTGTTTGGCCGCCTGACGGACCGTTTTGGGCTTGTGGGCTAAGCTCGGTCCAACTGTCCAGAAGGCCCCCCAGACCTTCCGAAAGAGCGTCCAGGGCGTCCTTTGGAGGGGGGTCCGGCTTGGGGTGGGGGGATTGTGTTATAATTTTAGAATAGGACTGTACATGTATTCCCATTCATCTATAGGGCCAGGGACGCCAGAAAAAGCGCACACCCACACACACACACACACACACACACACACACACCACACACACACACACACACACACACACACACACACACTCATGCACACACACCCAACGAATTTGGCCCTCCCTGGGCCTCCGGGCAACCCTTCAGACGACACGGGAGAACCTCACGAGAGCCCGAAGACGGCCCCAGACGGGTTCAAGGCGTTCTGGCGCGCTCCCGAAACGACCCCAGAGAGCCCCAATACGGTCACCGACGACCCCCAAGAAGCCGTCATACCCCCAAAGATCGCTCCGAAACGTCCCAAGAGGCCTCCAAGAGCACTCCCAAGAAGGCCCCAAGAGGCAAAATCATTGATGTTCTCAGGGTTTTCGATGAATTTGGGGGTTCTCCTCTTTTCGGTTTCGCGACGCTCCAAGACGGCGGTCTTCTGGGCGTCCGAAGCCGCCTGGGAGGCTCCCAAATCGCCCCATAACCATCCGAAAGGGCTTCCAGGCAGTCCAAGAGAGACCCAAAACGGCACAACAGGGGTCCAAGATGGCCCTGAGAGAGCCCCATGGCGGCCCAAGATGGCCCCAAGACACCCTCAAAAGTATTCCAAGTCGTGACCCGGTCGTTCGGGGAGACCGCGGTTGGAGGCAGGGTGGCCTGAGGAAGCCCCCAGAGGCCCCCAGAACACGCCCAGAAGGCCTCCAGAAGGCCTTAAGGAAGCTTGAAAAACTGTTGTGAGGCTCCTGGAGGCTCTCCAAGGAGGAGCCTCCGCAAAAAGAGCTGAGGAGGATGGGGAGAATGCGCAGGGTATGGCGAGAATGAGGACAAAGGAGCATGGAGGAAGGATATAAAATAGCATTATTCCCAACCATCCTGTGGTGTTGGGTCCTCGTTTTGAAGAAACGGTCCCCGCGTTCTCCTCTTCTCTCCTCTCCTCTCCTCCTCCCTCCTCCCCCTCCGCGTCAGCCACACCCACTTCGGCACACCCCTCACACGCTCCACCGAAGGCTCCAGTGGCTGCGTTCGCATGGCGGCACCGCGCCCATTTCGGCACACCCCTCACACGCTTCGTGGCCCCATAGGGAGCTCCACCGAGGGCCCCAGTGGCAGCGTTCGCATGGCGGCACCGCACCCATTTCGGCACACCCCTCACACGTTTCGTGGCCCCATAGGGAGCTCCACCGAAGGCCCCAGTGGCTGCGTTCGCATGGCGGCACCGCACCCACTTCGGCACACCCCTCACACGTTTCGTGGCCCCATAGGGAGCTCCACCGAAGGGCCCCAGTGGCTGCGTTCGCATGGCGGCACCGCGCCCATTTCGGCACACCCCTCACACGTTTCGTGGCCCCATAGGGAGCTCCACCGAGGGCCCCAGTGGCTGCGTTCGCATGGCGGCACCGCACCCATTTCGGGACACCCCTCACACGTTTCGTGGCCCCATAGGGAGCTCCACCGAGGGCCCCAGTGGCTGCGTTCGCATGGCGGCACCGCACCCATTTCGGCACACCCCTCACACGCTTCGTGGGCCCCATAGGGAGCTCCACCGAGGGCCCCAGTGGCTGCGTTGGCATGGCGGCACCGCACCCATCTCGGCACACCCCTCACACGTTTCGTGGCCCCATAGGGAGCTCCACCGAGGGCCCCAGTGGCTGCGTTCGCATGGCGGCACCACACCCATTTCGGCACACCCCTCACACGTTTCGTGTCCCATACGGAGCTACACCGAGGCTACATTTCGTGCGTTCGCATGGCGGCACCGCGCCCCAGTTCGGCACACCCCTCACACGTTTCGTGGCCCCATAGGGAGCTCCACCGAAGGCCCCAGTGCCGCCGCCCGCATGCGTCAGCCACACCCAATTCGGCACACCCCTCACACGTTTCGTGGCCCCATAGGGAGATCCACCGAAGGCCCCAGTGCAGCCGCCCGCATGCGTCAGCCACACCCAATTCGGCACACCCCTCACACGCTTTCGTGGCCCCATAGGGAGCTCCACCGAAGGCCCCAGTGCTGCCGCCCGCATGCGTCAGCCACACCCAGTTCGGCACACCCCTCACACGTTTCGTGGCCCCATAGGGAGCTCCACCGAGGGCTCCAGTGGCTGCGTTCGCATGGCGGCACACACCCATTTCGGCACACCCCTCACACGCTTCGTGGCCCCGTAGGGAGCTCCACCGAAGGCCCCAGTGGCTGCGTTCCGCAGTGGCAGGCACCGCGCCCATTTCGGCACACCCTCATACGTTTCGTGGCCCATAGGAGCTCCACCGAGGGCCCCCAGTGGCTGCGCTCGCATGGCGGCACCGCACCCGTTTCCGGCACACCCCTCACACGTTTCGTGGACTCATAGGGAGCTCCACCGAGGGCCCCAGTGGCTTGCGTTCGCATGGCGGCACCGCACCCATTTCGGCACACCCCTCACACGCTTCGTGGCCCCATAGGGAGCTCCACCGAGGGCCCCCTGGCTGCGTTCGCATGGTGGCACCGCACTCATTTCAGCACACCCCTCACACGCTTCGTGGCCCCATAGGGAGCTGTACCGAAGGCCCCACTGGCTGCGTTCGCATGGCGGCACCGCACCCATTTCGGCACACCCCTCACACGTTTCGTGGCCCCATATGGAGCTCCTCCGAAGGCCCCCGTGGCTGCGTTCGCATGGCGGCACCGCACCCATTTCGGCACACCCCTCACACGCTTCATGGCCCCATAGGGAGCCCCACCGAGGGCTCCAATGGCTGCGTTCGCATGGCGGCACCGCGCCCACTTCGGCACACCCCTCACCCGGTTCGTGGCCCCATAGGGAGCTCCACCGAAGGCCCCAGTGGCTGCGTTCGCACTGCGGCACCGCACCCATTTCGGGACACCCCTCACACGTTTCGCGGCCTCATAGGGAGCTCCACCGAGGGCTTCAATGGCTGCGTTCGCATGGCGGCACCGCGCCCATTTCGGCACACCCCTCACACGCTTCGTGGCCCCATAGGGAGCTCCACCGAGGGCCCCAGTGGCTGCGTTCGCAAGGCGGCACCGCGCCCATTTCGGGACACCCCTCACCCGGTTCGTGGCCCCATAGGGAGCTCCACCGAGGGCCCCAGTGGCTGCGTCCGCATGGCGGCACCGCGCCCATTTCGGCACACCCCTCACACGTTTCGTGTCCCCTGAGGGAGCTCCACCGAGGGCCCCAGTGGCTGCGTTCGCATGGCGGCACCGCCCCCATTTCGGCACACCTCTCACACGTTTCGTGGCCCCATAGGGAGCTCACCGAGGGGCCCCAGTGGCTGGTTCGCATGGCGCACCGCACCCATTTCGGCACACCTATTACCACGGTTCGTGGCCCTTAGGGAGTTCCCTTTTTTTTTTTCTTTAATTTCTTTTTTTTTTTTTTATTTACTTTTTTTTTTTTTTTTTTTTTTTATTTTTTTTTTTTTTTTTTTCTTTTTTTTTTTATTTTTTTTTTTTTTCTTTTTTTTTTTTTTTATTTTCTTTTTTTTGTTTTTTTTCTTCTTTTTTTTTTCTTGTTTATTTGTCTTATTTCTTTTTTTTTTTTTTTGTGTTTTTTTTTTTTTTCTCATTCGCTCAACCTGCTTTTGTTTTTTTTTTTTTTTTTTTTTTTTTTGTTTTTGTTTTTTTATTTTGTTTTTTGTTTTTTTTTTGTTATTTTTTTTTTTTTTTTGTTTTTTTTTTTTTTTTGTTTTTGCGGTACTCGTAACTGCATATGGTTGAATCGCCAGGATAATTTTATCGGTAACGGCGATTCCGGAAAAGGTAACAATGAGTTATTTCTAAATTGTCGGCTTGATTTTCCTGCCATTCCGCCTGCATACCAAACTTCAAGGACCTAGGTGCACGGCGCGAAGCGCCACTGCAGTCGTTGTATACATATACGTATGTATTCTGCATTAGCCACGTATGGGTAGGGAGACCATAAGGAAGACCATACGGGAGACCGTACGGAAGACCAGACGGGAGACCATACGAGAGACCGTAGACCTCGCGGGAGACCCTGAGAAAGGCCATACGGGAGACTACATTTGGGACCGGATGGGAGACCATACCAGAGACCATGCGGGAGACCACACGGGAGACCACACGGGAGACATGCGGGGGACCATGCGGGGGACCATACCAGAGATCATACGGGAGACCATACGGGAGACCCTACAGGACATCACCATACAGGAGACTACCATACGGGATTCCATGCGGAAGACCATAAGGGAGGCCATACATACGGGAGACCACGGGCCAGCGATTCCGGTCCGCAGAGGCTCACACCTGGTCTGAACAATTTATATATTAAGTTTACAGACAAGTCGCTTAGGGGAGAACATCAGAAAAAAAGGTCACAACATCAAAGTTACGATCGTGACACAGGGCATGTGCGCCGAATGTGTTCCAAATTCTTTGGACGAGGCACGCTCGTACACAGAGGCAGATGTTGCACTGCATCCTACCATAGCTAAGTGCCCTTATTGAAAGAGGCGAGGGCCTGGTTTCAGGGAGTGTGTGCTCATGCATGCGGAACCTCACGCGGATTCGATGGCGAATTCGCAGAGGTAGTGTTGCGCACCGAATGTTAAATCGCACATTGAGCGCGAGCACATGTTTATAAATGATATGTGTGTTGTCGTGTATGTTCTCACTGACGAGCGGCCATGAATACTGGAATGCCAAGGTAGTGACTAATTTGGCTTTGGCCTTCTCGGATGCCAACTTGCCGAACGAGAGAGTCTTCGAATCCCTCGGCACGGTTGGCCTCTCTCGATGCTGCCGTCGCACTGCAGTTGGCCCGCAACGTCAGAGCAGCCATGAGTTATGATCAGTTTGTCTCCAATTTGTGAGCGCCCCCTGAGGCCCTTGCCTGCAAGGTTCCATCAGCCCCAGAAGCGCATTGGAAGATACGTCACCGCACATCACACAGACCTGCCAGAGGAGCTCAATCCAGTTCTGATGTTGCAGGATCCCCGTGCTCCTGGAAGATTCACCCTAGAAATGGCGTCGGGGAAAGCATCGCATCCAATAGTTCCGGCAGCACAGGTCGACGCTTGCACATGATGCATTGGTCTGGTCATTTCAAGTTGTCATTGGTAGATTTGCCTAGTCAGCAGCCTTTCGAGCTCCACACGGCGGTAAGGCGGCGGCGGGACGCCCTGGAGCACAGCCAGGCATTAAGGGAACGCAGCAGGAGGGCCAAAGGGGACGCAGGAGGCAGGCACAGTCAGACCATTTCCACCATTGGTGGACATGAAAGGCAGCAAATCAGCGCCCATAACCCCAATTTGGGTCCAGGCCTTTCCGAACTGTTTCCCGGCCCGACGTCCAACACGCTCGCCGCCCGAGATCCCGCAGAATCATTCTAAGACAGCCCCAGGAGAAATTGAAGCCATTGCAAGAAGCACCGAAGAGCTCTGCGAGAGCGCAAGCGATTCCACGTGAGTCCCAAGATGTCCCTAATGTGGCCCCGCAGGGCGTCTCTTGGGAGCCAGGGGTGCCCAGAAAATTGAAAAGCCATGCGGCGTTCAATGTTTATGGCTCTGGATTGGTTCTCGCGCTGGAATCGTATTGGGTGCATCTGGGGAGCAAGTCTGCCCTGCAAAACTCCCAGATGGGCGTGGCAAAATCCTCGAAGAGGGGTGGAGGGCTTCAATTTAGCGCCGATGGCAGCTGGGGCATCGAGCCGCACCCTTGCTTGAAAGATCTTGTATGGTACAACCCGCTGGATTAAAAAAGTGGAGACCGTGGGGATCGAGAAAGACACGGTTGGACTCCCATTGGCCGCGGGGACTTGGACAATGTTGGAGTTGGGGCAGATTTGGGGAGTTCAAAATGATTCTCTCCCATTTTGTATATTGATCGTCATCCCGCGGTCTGCGGTCTGAAAGTGCGATTCATCCAAGACGTCCTCAAAATGATTCCGATCGCTTTCGGATCTGGCGATTGAAAAGTTGCCAATCGCTCGAGGATGAACGAGATTTCGTGGGACTTCATGCCGATTGAGGGTGGCGATATCGCCTGAGAACTCCTTACAGGGTATTTTCCAGCCGCTTTTTTTTTCACGCCGCCAGAGGAGTGGGCGATTTCGTTGAGGCGGGTCCTAACAACACGCGCGCGTCCACCCCAGCGGCGCCGTTCTCCGTTCGGTACGAGCTCTGGTCTGGGAGTCAAAAGGGGATCGATCGAAGGCGAAGCTCGAGGTTTATTCGATGGCGAAGACAGGGGTTGTTCCCTCGCATAGTGCCGATCACCACTTGAATCCAGGGGGTGGTATGGGTGGCAACGAGGCGATCGACTCGTTTGCTCATGATTTCGATTGCTTCCCTGAACGAATGAGTTAGATGAATTTGGCCAATCAACATGGAAGCTCGCGAGGCTTCATGAACAGCTAGGCTGCCATTCATTGATTTATGCCTCACACTACAACTTGAAATGGAGCGCCGGAGTGCGGCCATCAGCTTGAAACGAGCAGCTCCCACATCAGGAATGGAGGTTGAAAGTGAGCCTGGCCAAAAGAATTGCTACCTATGTCTGTTGTTTGACATGTTTTGTTATTTCTTTTTTTATTTATTTTTTAATTTTTGTTTTTTTTTTTAGTTTTTCATTATTTCTTTTTTTTTGATTTTTCTTTTTTTTTTTTTCTTTTTTTACCTTTTTTTTTTATTTTTTTTTTTTTTTTATTTCATTTTTTTTTATTTTATTTTTTTTTTTATTTGTTTTTTTTTTTTTTTTTTTTTATTGTTTTCTTTATTTTATTTTTTTTAATGTTTTTTTTTTTTGTTTTTTTTTTTTTTTTTTTTTTTTTTTTTTTTTTTTTTCTTTTATCTTTTTTTTTATTTTTTTTCTTTTTTATTTTATTTTACTTTTTTTTTATGTTTTTTATTTTATTTTTCTTTCTTTTTATTTTTTCTTTTTGTATTTTTATATTTGTGTTTAATTTTTTGTTCTTTATTTATTTTTTTTTTTATTTTTTATCTTTTACTTTTCTGTTGTTTGACATGTGCTGTGCTCCGCGATCTTACCTACAGTATGTGTTCGATTCGTCTTGGTATTGGTCGTGAAGTGTGGTGTCTGCTCTGTAACTGATCCCGCCCATCAGGTTGGCAGTGTCACGCTGCATGAGTTCAGGGCCTCCCAGATTTCTACCTTGGTGCAGGCCTCGCGTCGTTGCCCAATCGTGTCCTTCCGCCTCTTCAAGGTAGGTTATCTCCCACTTCGTCAATGGGTTCGCTATGGTTACTTCGAATGCGCGTTGCCTCCCCACTCCGTTGATTACATGAAGTAGCCCGCCTTAGTTGGCCTGGGGCATGCCACTCGTTTTGACATGTCGGCGAGGATGCGGCAGCTAAAGTCAGATGCCACGGTGAGCTGTTTGTTTCCCATACAGTGCTTGCACTAGAGGATTCTCATTTGTCTCCCAAGTGATTGGGCGGGGGTTCCCGAATTTTCGCCGAGTGGCCGCCCGTCGAAGCCTCGCGGCCTCCCCGTTCATAGGCCAGGTTTTTAGGTTTTCGCCCGATGGCCAGCAAGGCTGGGTTTTCGCCTGGTGGTCGCCCACCCGTCGCCGACTCGTCGCCGCGCTGCTGCCACATCGGTTGCGCCACGCACATTCTCGTTCCTAAGGAACACCAGACTCTGCGCCCATGCCCGGGCCAGACTGGACGACTATAGTCGCCCCCACGTGTGAGTCTGGGGTTTGGTTGGTCCGGTTGGTCCGGTCCGAGTGGTCCAGTTGGTCCGGTTGTCCCGTTGGTCCGGAGGGTTTGGCTGGTCCATGTTGGTCTGCTTGGTCCAGTTGGTCTGGTTGGTCTGGTTGGTCCTGTTGGTACGGTTGGTGCCGTTGGTCCAGTTGGTCTCGTTGGTCTTGTTGGTCCGGCTGGTCTGGCTGGTCCGGTTGGTCTGGTTGGTCCAGTTGGTTTTGTCGGTCCAGGTGGTTTGGTAGATCAGGGTGGTCTTGGAGGTCCGATTAGTCCGATTTGTCTGGGTGGTTTGAAAGGTCCGGGTGGTTTGGGTGGTCCGTGTGGTCCAGGTGCAGTTGGTTTGAGTAGTCCGGTGGGGGATCCCATGGAGTAGGACCGCTAATCGGACGAGCGGGTCGGGTCGGGCGGGCGGGACAGTAAAGTGTAGCACCGCATGGAAGAAGACCACAGGGCACCAGTAGGAGGTGCTGGCAGGGCTTGTCGGACGGGGCACTGATGTGCAGGACGCCTCTCGGGTCGAACGGCTATGCTTGATGGTGAAATTAAAGTGTGAATGGTGAAATCAAAAAAGCTTGAACGTGAAGCAGACACTACATACGCTAGGACACCACGTAGAAACACGATGCACAAAGACGACGTGAAAACACAACGTAAAACCTCCCCAGGGCGCTCCCGCGGCGCTCCCTCGGCGATCCAGGCGGCATTCCCACGGACGATTCGTTCTGTTCTGTGTACCGTCTTTCAGGTAGTGCTTTCGAGTGGCGTGGCGACGCAGGGCGCTCCTGCAGCGCTCCAGCGGCTGGCCCCCTGCACACTCCGGCGACGCCGACGAGAGACGCGGGCGACCGCAGTTCTGAGTCCCTTCCCGAGGTTGTGGGTCGATCACGGAAACGCATGACGCGAAAAAACTACGCGACAAGACTACGCGGAAAGCTAATTCCACGCGGCGAAATGCACTACGCGAAATACTTGTTTGATCCGCGGGTCGAGAGCGCACCTCTTCCGGTCAGAACTACGCGAAATACATTACGTAAATGTTCCACGCAAGCATTGCACGCGAAAGGGTGACGTTAATACCATATACGAGAACATTTCTCAAATTCACCACGCAGGAGCACTACGACAGCACACTACGCCAACACGCTACGCCAACACACTACGCAAACGCACTACGTAAAATACACTACGCGAATGCACTTCGCAAGCGCACTACGTACATTACTCTATTGAGCAAATACACTACGCAAATACACGATGCAAATACACAACGTAGATACTCTACGTAAATACACTACGTAGACTATTTCACACTTAGGCGAGACTCTCTTGCCGTATCTCAAACAGTGGGTTCGGAGACAATTCACTTACCCAAAGAAGCCCTTCTTCTGTCAGGTAAACGTCGGGATATACCAGTCTTGCAGCCGATGCCGCAAAAAGCCGATTGGCAAGAGAAAACGATATGTATTGAGCTTTGACATATTCGGGTGGCTAAGGTCACGCAACCGTGCAGCACGATTTCAACAACAACAACAAAAAAAACACATTACTATTGAAACCGAAATCACCAGATTGCAGTCCACAGCGAGTCAGGAGTTCAAGATCAAATTTGGCAATTGCGAGGCCATACCCCGAAAATTCGAGCAATGCAAAATCATCCATGGTTGGACCAGTGATGGGACACACGTCCTTGCATATCAAAGACTACCTCACGATCACATGGTACGCTAATGAAGTGGGTAACAAAACCAATTACCCTTTGACACCATATCAAGCCGTGGAGGCATCACTGCACAACACTGTCAAGGTGCAGCCTCTTTTGGCCCCAGGTGGAGACACGACGGAGGGGCCCCGGCTGGCGAGGCGTGTTGCGACCTACAGGGCTTCGTAAGTGAGCGTGGCTTACATCGATTGGCGGCTAGTTGCGATCGCAAGTGCTCTCTTCTCTCCATCTGAATCCCGCCATCATGCCAGCGCAGTATCATAATGCATGCAGGCTGGTTTTTCCGAATTCTCGGGAACAGGCTCGCTTAGCACCAGGTGGGGGTTGTACGGAAAGCAACGCTCTGATGTTGTGGCGTGGTGCGGCCCTAGCGTGGCATGGCCGTCGGGATGCTTCTTGGGGACTAGTTGGAGTTTCTTTTTAAGGGTTCTCTTGGGCCTCTTAGGGGGCCCTCGGCGGCTTCTTTAGAGCTTCTGAAGCTCCTCTTGGATGCCTGGGGGATGTCGTGGGCCAATCCGGTCGGGTCTTCGGGCAGTTTTGGATCCCTTTTGTGGGCGTCTGGGCCGTTTTGGGAATTCTCGGACCGTCTTGGGGCTCTTTTTGCGGCCCTCTGAGGTTGTTTTGGAGCTCTATTTGATTTTATTGCGATGTCAAATCGAAAAGCCAGGTTGGCAGAAAAATGTGAATGTTTCCAGCCTCCCAGGGCATTGCTAAAGGGTTCATTGGGCGGTTGAGCCTGCAGGGCTGGTTGAGCGCCCATTGAGGGCATATTCAGGCATGCTGCAGACTCTGAGGGGTATCTTGGGGGTTCTCTGGGGTCTCTTGGCCAGCATAAGCCAGTATTGGAGCAGCTTCTAGCCATCTTGGAGCGGTCTTGAACCATCGTGGGACCGTCCTGGGGCCGAGAGGAAAGCCGGGAATCAAAACGTAGGGGCCCGATGTTCTTCGACGTTGTGCGACATGAGTGGTACGGCCCTTAGACACTCACACACACACACACACACACACACACACACACACACATTTTCACTTACAGCCAGCAGACAACATAACACCCCGCTAGCCGCCAGCACGGTGGCGGATCGTGCATGATGCAAGGTTCGAACACGGCCCGAGACGCATCTTTGTGCCATGTCATTTCCGAGCGGCATCGTCCAGACAATTCCCCCGAGCATTGAAACGGATCCGAAGCAATATTTGGCGAAGGTGTTTGCACCCATCGCTGGATAGAGGATTGCTGTTATCATCCTGTCACATCTCACCGACGCGTCCAGATCGCTCACATCTGCTACCCCCGCTTTTGATCGACATGAATTTCTGCACACTTTACCAGCCTCTGGTCGCCATGCTGACCGATGGAACGACACCAGTGTACCCTTCGAGGCCTTCACGGGTTCACCCCGTGGCAGCCGATGTGTTCTCCAGAACATTTCCAATTGTTGGCGCTTCGGGTAGCCCCACCGGCCCATCCAGATACGATGCCCAGGGGAGTTGAGGTTATCAGGGAAGTGGGGGAGCATGCAGAAGAACAGAGGGTGGGGGAAGCTGTCATATAGAGGGAGAGGATAGAGGAGGAATCGTCGTCGGAGAAGGAGGAGGAGGAGGTGGAGTAGGGCAAGGACGAGAAGGACGAGAAGGGGGAGAAGGAGGAGAAGGAGGGAGAGTTGGGTACCTCGGAGATCATATTGAGGCCTCGCATGGGGTCTCTCGGGAGCCTCTTGGAGGCCTCTTGGGGCCGTCTGTGCACCTCTTGGGGCGCTCTTGGGAACTTCAGGGGCGCGCTTGGGGCCATCTTGGAGGACATCGATAAAAAAGAGGGGAGCTCCAATTAGCATCACCCCCCCTCGGGAGCACCGAAAATCGCCTCCTGGACCCTTCTTGGAGCGCTCTCGGGGCCGCCTTGGGGCTCTCTTGGGCCTCTCCTGGGGCTCTATTGGGCCATCTTGGAGCCATCGTGAGGCCTCGGATGGCCATCGGAAGCGACAAGGCGAGAAAGCAAAAATCATTGACTTGCCTCAGGTTGTTGAAGGATGTTGGCTTCCTTGGGGGCCTCCTTGGAGATCTCGGACGCCTCTTGGAGCTTCTTGGGAGCCATCTCGAGGCATCGTGCGCTATTGAGCCATCTTGGAGCTCATCTTGTACTCTCAGGGGCCCTCTTGGAGCCGCCTTGGGCCATCTTGGACGCCCCAACGCTTCGCCGTCCCCCCCCCCGTCTAGGTCCAGGGGCGGGGGTAGGGGGAGGGGTCAAGCTACCCACCCGGCTCACTCCCACCCGCCCTCCCTACACATAAGTAACACCCGAGCCTGAGCATGTTCAGCGGTCGTCTTTGAATGGACAGCTACTGGGAACCAAAGCCGTCCCCAGGTGCGCGACGCTTGGGCGAGGTGCGCCACGCGTGCCAGGGGCGCCACGCGCGCCAGGCATCCTTGGGGCCCGAGCGTGCCAGGCACGCCTAGTGCGCCAGATGCGCCACGTGCTCCGAATGCGCCAGGTGTACCGCACACTCCAGCCGCGCCAGATGCGCCATGTTCGGGGCACGTGCAGAGTGCGTCAGGTGCGCCTACGCACGTATTAGCACACATCTGGAAACATGTCGGCCCCCGCCGTCCTTGTCGAAAACTAATGCCCATCGTTGTGTCTGGTGGGCCTGCGCACGGCAGGGAATATGCTGGCACCCCCGCCGTCCCTGTCTCTGCGGGCCTCACGAACATGACTCAAGACTTTGCCCCAAAGTGTACTTTGCATTGTTTTTTGACAGGGATGATGGGGGGCCGCATCGGGTTGGCCGCGCATGCTCCAAATGTGGAGTCAGAGTGCGGTTTGTTTGGTTTTTGACAGGGGTGGTGGGGGGCGGGTCGGCATGGTGTCCTCATTGTTCCTGGTTGGACGCCGGTCGCCTGGAGGAGGGGGTGTGTATCAATAAGGAACAGTGATAAACCCGTCCTTGAAGGGGAAGAAGGGGGTTGGAAGAGGAGCCTCCCTAGACCATCTACGCTCACAAGGCTGGTGGGATAATCGTGGATTGAGTTCCGTATGGCGCCGAAGTGTATAGGACAGTCGGCCCCAGCACGTATGTTCCTCGTCGTGAGTGTCGTCTCCGTCGTCCTACTCATCGTCCCCCTCGCCCATCACCCACAGCCGTGATTTCCCCCTTGCTCCTCCGATCGCCTGTTACACCAGTGGTCGAATATTGCCTTCTGATTGCTCCATCGCTCCGTCAGTCATGGTCGAACACCTAGGTGATATGTACTTCGATTGATCAACGATTTCGGAAGTAGCCTCCTTCGCTCATGTAGGAGTCTTCGTTAAAGTTCCCAGCACATCATGGAGGCAGGGATTGAAGACGTGTGTGTGGGGGGGGGGGGCCCACCTTTGCGGTCAAGCTGAGCCCGAATAGTGGACGTTGTTTGGCATCAGGCGTTCGCGAAGGTTGGCCTAAAGCACGACAAGCTTTTCGCCGCGGTCGACGCCGCTGCGTTGAGCCGAACCTATTCTTTCAAGGAGCACGAGTTGCAGGAGCTGGATTGGGAGCAGGAGGAGACAGGCAGAGGCAAGCAGAAGGGAAATGGCGTGGAAGAAAAACAACAGCACGTGAGGCGGGGAGAGACGCAAGAGGTCAGGAAAGCAGCGAAGAGAGGGAGGACGAAAGGGGAGAGAGATGGAAGATTGATAAGGACGGGACCATGTGGACAGGCTTCTGCCCCGTGGGGCGGGGCGGGCTGTTGTCTTTCTGGGTCAAGGTTCGAAGAAGGAATGTATACTAATGTTTGGCGGTTGAAAGATGCCAGGGGGAGCGGGGACAAGAGGGGAGGAGGGAAAAGGTAACAAAATGGAGAGGGGATGAGTGGTAGCGGAGCAAGGAAGAGAAGGGTGAGTTGGCGACGGTCCCCAGAACGGCCGTCGCACTTCTGATGTGGTGGCGGTCTCTGTCCGCACATCGTGTTTTCAAGAGTTCGTTCCCTCCTCCTCCTTCTCCTCCCTTCCCCCACCCCCCACCCCTATTTTCCACCCACTGGACGACAGAAGCGGGTGCTCCAGATGTCCGGGCTCTTGGGCCTCAAACAGAGTTGGTTCCATCGCATTGCGGAGAACAGTCGCTTGGGTAATCTTGTTGTGGACGAAAACGTAGAAAGGAGCAGCTGTCGGCATGTTGCGTTTGTATTTCTCAGCTGAGTAATGGTTACGGCATTTCGGCATTCCGTTGTCACATGCGTTTTGGGCAAGAATTGTTTTCCGGGTGTTGTTGGGATGTTGTCGTCGAGTTGTGTTTCCGTATTTGGTCCAGTGTCAGCTTTGGTATTGTTGTTTTCCAGGGGTGTATCCGTTTGTGTTACCACGAATTGTATGTGTGCGGGAGTTATGTTGTCCCTTTGTTAGGGGTTGGGTGCGCGCAGTGTTTCCACTTTTTGTGGGTGCTGGTTTGTTCTGGGTTGGTTTGCCATGGGCAGGGCAGACCACACGATAAGAAATTCTTTACGCTTCGCGTATCCCCACCAGCCCATCTCACAGCAGCAACTCTTGCGAAGCATGCCGACAGTCGTGTTTTTCAGGCGTGTGTCCGCTTGGCCCCGCATTATCCCCTGTTCTCCTTCTCGCCTCCTTGTCATCCTCTTGTGGGGGTGAGCGGCGAGAAGACGAGGCGGGGGGGGAGGAGGAGGGAGAGAAAGCGTCTCATCGTGATTTGAGTGTTTGGGGTTTCTCGTCCTGGTGTGAGTTTCCTCGGGCCTTTTTCTGGTGTGAGTTTGTTCGGGTTTGTTCTTCGTGTGTGAGTCCGTTAGGGCTCTTCAGTCTGGTGTGAGTCGTTCGGGCTTCTCGTGGTTGGTGAGTTGTCGGGCCCCTCATCTGGATTTGTGGAGTCGTTCGGGCCCCTCCTCCTGGTGTGACTCGTTCGGGCTCCTCGTGGTGTGAGTCGTTCGAGGCGCGCGTCGTGGTGTGAGTCGTTCGGGCTCCTCGTGGTGTGAATGGGTCGGGCGCCTCGTCCTGGTAGGAGTCGTTCGGGGTCCTCCTTCTGGCGTGAGTCGTTCGGGTTCTTCGTGGTGTGAGTCGTTCGGGCCCCTCGTCCTGGTGTGAGTCGTTCGGGCTCCTCGTGGGGCCTCTTGGGGGCCTCTTGGAGCCTCTTGGGGCATCTTGGTGGCCTCTTGGGGGCCTCTTGGGGGCCTCTTGGGGGCCTCTTGGGGCCTCTTGGGGCCTCTTGGGGGCCTCTTGGGGGCCTCTTGGGGGCCTCTTGGGACCGCTTGGGGGCCTCTGGGGGGCCTCTGGGAGGCCTCTTGGGAGGCTCCGGAGGGCCTCTTGGGGCCATCTTGGGGCCTCTTGCGACCTCCTCAGAAGCGCAAATGAGCGCTGCCCCCTGAGAAGGACAAAATGAGGCCAAAACCTTCGTAAAATCAATGATTTTGCTATGAGGGAAGATGAGCGCGGCCCCCTCAGGACGCCAAAATGGGGCCAAAACCTTCGTAAAATCAATGATTTTGGCTTCAAAGAAGAGCAGAGGGGCCAAACTCCCTCCCCCCGTTGGGGCCAGAATCCTCGTGAGGGTCGTCGTTTTTTAGCCCTCCCAGGAGTCGTAATTGACCCTCCTGACGACCCGCGGGGGTCCCTCTCCAGGCCCAGGGGGAGGGGGTAGGGGGAGGGGTAAACCCCTCCCCGAAGGGGAAGAAGGGTTGAGAACAGAGCGGGCTCTCTAAACCACTCACGCCCAAAGGGCTGGTGGGATTTCACATCTAGTGTGTATATATATATATATATATGTCTAAACACATGTGTAAATATCATTGCGGGCCTCATGCTTGGACAAGACGGAGTGCGGCGAGGTGCTTCCCAGACAGCCGAGGACGAATCCCATGTGTTACGTGTCATTGGGCCCCATAGTCGCCCCAAGAGTGTTTGCACAAAGCGATTCCAATTTCCTGCCCTGACTGCCACATGTTTCGCCGCTGACTCCCTCCTCGCAGCCACGCGGGGCCCCAGGCAATCCCCACCGTCCGCACCCCTCGCTGGCCTTGCCTGCCGCACGTCGCCGCCGCCGCCGCGTGGGGCTCATTACACTCTCCACATTTCGGGCCCCCGCTGGCCTTGATTGCTTTTGTCGTCGCAGCGTGGGGCCTCGTGCATTCCCACATCTCGGCCCCTCCACTGGCCCCGACTGCCGCGCGTCGCCGCCTCGTGGGGCCGTGCGCATTCCCCAAGCTGGCCCTGATTTTCCCACGTCTCCGCCGTCGCCGCCTCGGGGGGCCTGGACACTCCCCACAACTCGCGCCCCGCACCAGCCGTGATTGCGCCCTGTAGGCTGCACCCCGAAGAACGCACCGCATATGTTGAGCGCCATTTTCTGGCCCCCACAGAACTGATCCCATCGATCGCAGCAAGAGAGTTGCACATGGATTGCACCCCACACGCTGATCAGTGATCAGATTCATTGTCTGGGCCCCCCGCGCCGGTAGCATTCGAAAAGGCGTTGATCAACACATGGGATACAGAGTTCTCAGTTTTCTAAGGCGATTGTGCGATTCGCACGCGTGTTCCATGGGCTGGTGAACGGCAATAGGTAAGCGAGCAATTGTGGTGTGAACGCGCTGGACTCTTGCTGCAGATGATGCATGCTGCTTGCAGGGGTAACGCGGTCGGCCGCCGTGAGGGCCAGGGCATGCCAGCATTGGACAGACAGGCTTCCATCGGAAGCAACGGACCGTGGGATCGTTGTCTCACGACACTTGCACATTGAGATTGCTTGCAGGACATCCTGACAGCATACGAGAGCGTCGGCGGGAGGGGGCCATGCGAGCAAGCCAGTTCGGGGCGTGTGCGGTTCTACGCGCTCTCGTTCCCATCTCTCCAGCATCGTACGACGATCGCCACGGCTTGTAGTCTCGGTAAGACGGATCGATGGCGCACTAGCGATTTGCGCTCAAGTTCTGTCTTCCTCGTCTTCAGTCGCTATGTCTTCCTTGCAATCTGCTGCTTGCACAGGAAGCCCGTTCCCATGTCGGAGTCAACGGCACAGTAACAGGTATTCATTAACGCGTACGTTGGAACGTTGCCGAAAGTTGCCATTTGAGGGTTTTTTTTTTGGCATTGCAGCGTTGCCCACAACGGGGAGTGTTGGGTTCGCCGGGTCACTGGCCAAAGTACCCGTTAGTGGAGTCCCCGTTGGAGGGACGTTGACGGAGTGCGGCTGCATTTGCGCAAGCGTGCAGGGGTGATATCCCCCGCGGCACACGCGTCTGCAGCCTGCACCTGCGGGAGCCACCTGGTCAAACCCGTCCAGACCCTTCCCAACGTCTGTCGTGGCCAGCTTCTCCAGCTGCGTCCAGCCGCGGCCACGAGGACCTCCCCAGGAGCCCCCCCCCAAGCAACATCAAAACGTTGGCCAGCGAGGACCCCAAAACCAGTTGGTCATTGCAGTGGACGTGTAAGCTATGTGGTGCAAGCGATGTGGTGTCAGCTATGTGGTGCAGCGTACGCGGTGCAAGCTAGGGGCGGCCAGGAGGCGATTGGGTGGCAACGCGGTGGAACCTCGCCGGACCCACGCAGCGCGGCCCACAAACGGCCACGGACGGCACCGTGGTGAGACCTCGCCGGACCCACGCAGCGCACGAGGCGGCCATGAGGCGACCACGGGCGGCAACGTGGCGAAACCTCGGCGGACCTACACAGAGCACGAGGCGACAAGAAGGCGGCAACGCGGAAACTCCGCACCGTAACCATCAACTTCTTTCATGACATCATCAAGAAACCCTAAATATAAGCACTGTCTGGGGAACCATAGATACCGGAGACCATTGATTGCTATCTCCTAGCGATAACGGACGTTACCGGGCGGGGGGGGAGGCGTCGGAGGGGATTGGTAGCGTCACGATTCGCGCTTGCGCCGTCTGAAATTCTAAGACATGGATAATTCCCAGCCGGCGCCGGCCCGAATCGCTACGTTACCAGGGGGGCGAGGGGGGGCGAGGCCAGTGACAGGCATCATTGCAAATGATCCGAATAATTGACTCATCCAGCTTCTCTTTTGCCCTTGAGGTGGAGAGGTGGTGGGATGGGAGAAGATGGGAGGGGAAGGTAGGAGAGTCGAGGAAAATCGGGGGGCAGTTTCTCTTGCCCCACCCCGCTGCGATGTCGATTACCCCTGGCAGCCGATGGATGGCTCGGACTTGACAGCTGCGACAACGGCCGAGAGGACAGTCGAGCAACGCGCCTGGAAGGTCACCGCGTTGCTCCCCCTTCTCTTCCTCCTCCTGATAAATTTCTTCCTCACTCTCCTCCAACTCATCTTCCCTCCTCATTCTCGCATTGTCCTCATCCTCTTCCTTCCTCCTTCCCATCCTTCTCACGATCCTCCATGATGTCCCTCCTCCTACTCATCCCACCTCGTCCGCCTTCCCATCTTTCACCTTCCTCCCACCTTTAGCCTCCCCTTCTCCTCCATCTAGGTTTCCATGGTTTGCCTCTCGCGCAGACCCTGGGAGGGGGTGCGTAGGCGCGCCCACCAAGAACCTCAGCAAGGCGATATTCGCGCAGAGGTCGCGGGGTGAACAGCGTCGGGGGGCGCGTAGCAAACACAACCATGTCGTAGACAAGAGATCTCTCGGAGAGGCTACTTGCCCTCTGGAAAGCTTTGGCTACATGTGTACATGTACAACATGTAACTGCACACAATTATATGAGTACGCGTAATTCTGTATAAGTCAGAATAATAGGATTAGTATGAACAGTAGTAGTATTATCATTAGAAATGTTACTCATCGTAGTCGCATTAGTATTAGAAATAGCATGAGTATTATTATTATGATTCCAGAATGTGTTTAATAACGTAGCACCCCGCATTTGCGGATAAGAGTGAGGGGGCGGGCGCGGGCGACGCGGGCGTCGAGCCGGCGGACCTCGTGGCCCTCACCTTCCCTGTCGATGGCGCCCTCCTCCTCATCCTCCTCCTCCTCCTCCTCCTCCTCCTGCTCCTCCTCCTCCTCGTCCGCGTCCTCATCCTCATCGTCCTACAACAGCCCCGCCGCAGGCGCCGATGTGCTGTTGTAGAGTCAACGTGGGCCGGATCGGGGGAATGGCACGAGGGCGCTTTCCCAAACCGATGCGAGCAAGCCCGCCGCAGGCGCCGATTTGCGTGCTCTGACAAGTTCCGCGCGGGAGGGGTCGCTGGGTGCCCACCCGGAACGAATGCAAAAACAGCCCGCCGCAGGGGCCGAATCTTTGGCTTGTTCAGTGAACGTAATTTGGATCGCGGGTGGGACGCGGGCTCTCCACTTCCACTTGTAAGGAATTCAAAAACAGCCCGCCGCGGGCGCCGAAAATTTTGATTTGTAGAACGCGGTTTGGGTCGCAGGTTCTCCACTTGGAACGAATGCAAAAGAAACCTGCCGCAGGCGCCGAAGTTTTGGCTTGTTCAGTGAACGTAGTTTGGGTCGCGGGTGGGTCGCAGTTCTCCACCTGGAACGAATGCAAAAGAAACGCGCCGCAGGCGCCGAAAATTTTAAGTGGGTCGCGGGGTGGGTCGCGGGTGGGTCGCGGTTGGGTCGCGGAGGGTCGCAGGTGGGTCGCGGGCGCGGTTTGGGTCGCGGGTGGGTCGCAGGTTCTCCACCTGGAACGAATGCAAAAGAAACCCGCCGCAAGCGGCGAAAATTTTGGGTGGGTCGCGGGGTGGGTCGCGGTGGGTCGCGGGTTGGTCGCGGGTGGGTCGCGGGTGGGTCGGGTGGGTCGGGGGGGGGTCGCGGGGTGGGTCGCGGGTGGGTCGCGGGTGGGTCGCGGGTGGGTCGCGGGTGGGTCGCCGGGGGCGTCTCGGGGTGGGTCGCGGGCGGGTCGCGGGGTGGGTCGCGGGTGGGTCGCGGGTGGGTCGCGGGTGGGTCGCGGGTGGGTCGCGGGTGGGTCGCGGGGTGGGTCACGGGTGGGTCGCGGGTGGGTCGCGGGGTGGGTTGCGGGTGGATCGCGGGGCGGGTCGCGTGTGAGAACCCGCATCGCGGAATTCCGTTTCAGCCACGCACCCAGGGACAGTGAATGACCGTTCGGTTCAGCCCCCGCATTCGAAGAATCATGATAATATTCATAACAAGCATAATCATAATAATAATGATGATGATCATGACGATGATGATGATCATAATAATAAAGTTCATACTTACAACGATAACAATAATAATAGGAATAAGTATATTAGTAATGATAATGGTAACGATCATAAGATTAATACGAATAATAACATTCATAATAGTAATAATAATCATAATCATAATCATAATCATAATCATAATCAGAATAGTAATATTAATAATCGTAACAATAAAAATATTAATAGTGCTAATAATAATATGTAATCTGTATGTATGTGTGTATATATACACACTCCTTTTCCCTATCAAATGATAGGGGAACCCCCCGGATGGGCGTCACCTAATTCGCCACCCCCCTGAACGGGTCAAGACAACCCCGAAAATGCTTGAAATTACCGCCAAGCTGGTCCGACCAGCCCCAGAAGCCTTCCAAGACGCCCACAGATCGCTCTAAGATGCCCCAGTTGGTCACAAGACGGCCCAAGAGGCCTCCAAGACAAGACGCCCCACACGGCCCCAAGACGGCCCAAGACGGTGCAAGAGACTCCCAAGACGGCCCCGGAGACCCTCAAGACGGCTCCAAGAAAGGCTCCACGACAGGATCCGACCCGACATTTCGGCCCCTCGGCTCCAGGATACCCCCCAGAAGGCTCGAACACAGCCCCAGGAGGCCCCCAAGAGGCCCCAACAGGCCCCCAGGACGTCCGCGAGAAGCCATCCATGAGGCCTCCACGAGCAGAGACGACGTATACACTTCGGACGCGCCAGGCTGCGGTTGATGTTCCGTAGCCTTTGACCCCCAGGATTCCGCTGATGTTCCGCCTCGCCATAGGCTGATTGAGATCATGGCGGACGACTTCCACAAATCGCCGCAGTTCCTCACATACTTTGTTTGCTGGTGCTGCAGGTGCCTCCATCACTGGCTTCATTGACTTGCGTCCTGCACTTCCAGTTACGTGCGCGGGTGATACTGACTCCCCCGAAAATTGGTTCGGCCCGTTGAGTGGCTCCGCGCCCCGGGACATGCTCTTTCCTTACGAAAACCCACACCCACGACAGCCCCTCGAGGCCGGCGTGCCCAGAGGGAGCCAGACGCCCCCCATCCCGGGCCCGACAAAGAACAAGCAACCGTCGACGTGAACCAAAAATTGGTGCGGCCCATCGGGTGGACGCGCCCCGGGACATGCTCTTTCCTTACGAAAACCCACACCCACGACAGCCCCTCGACGCCAGCGTGCCCCGAGGGCGCCAGACGCCCCCTATCCCGAGCACAAAAAAGAAAAAGCAACCGTCAGCGTGAACCAAAAATTGGTTCGGCCCGTCGGGTGGCTCCGCGCCCCGGGACATGCTCTTTCCTTACGAAAACCCACACCCACGACAGCCCCTCGACGCCGGCGTGCCCGGAGGGCGCCAGACACCCCCCATCCCGGGCCCGAAAAAGAACAAGCAACCGTCAACGTGAACCAAAAATTGGCGCGGCCCGTCGGGTGGTTCCGCGCCCCGGGACATGCTCTTTCCTTACGAAAACCCAATCCCACGACAGCCCCTCGACGCCAGCGTGCCCGGAGGGCGCCTGACGCCCCCCATCCCGAGCACGAAAAAGAAAAAACAACCTTTAGCGTGAACCAAAAATTGGTTCGGCCCGTCAGGTGGCTCTGCGTCCGCGCACATGCTCATTCCTTTCGAAAACCCACACCCACGACAGCCCCTCGACGCCGGCGTGCCCGGAGGGCGCCAGACGCCCCCCATCCCGGGCCCGAAAAACAACAAGCAACCATCGACGTGAACCAAAAATTGGTGCGGCCCATCGGGTGGCTCCGCGCCCTGGGACATGCTCTTTCCTTACGAAAACCCACACCCACGACAGCCCCTCGACGCTAGCGTGCCCGGAGGGCGCCAGACGCCCGCCATCCCGAGCACGAAAAAGAAAAAGCAACCGTCAGCGTGAACCAAAAATTGGTTCGGCCCGTCGGGTGGCTCTGCGTCCGCGCACATCCTCATTCCTTACGAAAACAGACACACACACACACACACACACACACGCGCACGCACGCACGCACGCCCGCACGCACGCACGCACGCACACGACGGCCCCTCGGCGCCAGCGTGCCCGCAGAGCGCCAGACGCTCCCATCCGGGGCCCCGAAAAAAAAAACGGCCATCGACGTGAACCACCAATTGGTTCGGCCCGTCGGGTGGTTCTTCACTTCCAAACATGTTCACCCCTTACACAAAAAAACCATATATATATATATATATATATATATATATAATATATATATATATATATAAAAAAAAAAAAAAAAAAAAAAAAAAAAAAAAAAAAAAAAAAAAAAAAAAAAAAAAAAAAAAAAAAAAAAACAAAAAAAAAAAAAAAAAAAAAAAAAAAAAAAAAAAAAAAAAAAAAAAAAAAAAAAAAAAAAAAAAAAAAAAAAAAAAAAAAAAAAAACGCACCCCTGAGCCGTCGAGCTCGCGACAAACATCAAGTTTACACCCCTACGGCAATGAAAGTTCACGAGCTCGCCACATTCTGTGACCACATAGCGCGGCGCGGTACCAGACCCGCGCTCCTGCGCCAAGGATGAGGATGAGGGACAAGATGTTGTGGCGAAGCGAAGCGAGCCAACAATATCTTGTCTGTATATATATACACATACATACATACATACATACATACATACATACATACATACATACATAGATACATACATACATACATACATACATACATGCATGCATGCATGCATGCATGCATGCATGCATACATACATACATACATACATACATACATACATACGTACATACATACATACATACACACACAAGGATACAGGGGCGGGGGGCCCTGCCAGGTGTCCCGCGTCGCCATGGGCGCCCCCGGACTCCGGGAACTGTCCCGGAGGCGCCCAGAGCGGCTCGGGCTCCCCAAAATAGCAGCCCAGGAAAGCTTCCAGACAGCCCAGGATGCCTCCAAGATGCCCCAAGAAGCCGCCGAAAACCTGTCCAAGAGGGCCCCCCGGGCCTAATTCCGTGCATTTTATGACGGTTTTGATGGATGTGCAAGAGTGCGCGTGTCCAGCTGCAGTGGAATCCGAAATGGCCCCCAACGCACCCGAGTTCGCTCTGAGACGGCCTAAGAACCTTACAACATGGCCCAAAAGCAGCCCCACGGGGCCCCCAGACCTCCCACGAAGCCGCCCCAGCGCCCCAGCGGGAGTCCCGCTCATTGCCCCTTCCGCCGCGAACGCTGCATTCCACGTCGCACCCCTCCCCCCGGCGTCCCCAGCGCCAGAGTGGGACCCCAGTGCCGTGGCTCTCTGCCCCGAGCCCCCGCGCGCCCCCAGCGCCCCAGCGGGAGCCCCGCCCATTGCCCCTTCCGCCGCGAACGTTGTATTCCGCGTCGCACCCCCGTCCCCCCTCCCCCGCGTCCCCAGCGCCAGAGTGGGAAGCCCGCGCCGTGGCTCTCTGCCCCGAGCCCCCGCGCGTCCCCAGCGCCCCAGCGGGAGCCCCGCCCATTGCCCCCTCCGCCGCGAACGCTGCATTCCGCGTCGCAGCCCGGCCCCCCTCCCCTGCGTCCCCAGCGCCAGAGTGGGACCCCCGCGCCGTGGCTCTCTTCCCCGAACCCCCCGCGTCCCCAGCGCCCCAGCGGGAGCCCCGCCCACTGCCCCCTCCGCCACGAACGCCTTATTCCGCGTCGCGACGCACACCACCTCCCCCACCTCCCTCCCCGCGTTCCCAGCGCCCCAGTGGGACCTCCGCCCCGTGCCACCTTCGGCCCGACAATGTTATTCCGCGTCGCGACGCACACCACCTCAAACCGTCCCCCCCCCACCCCGTCCCCAGCGCTTCAGTTGGACCCCCGCCCCGTGGCCCTCTGCCCCAAGCCCCGCCCAGTGCCCCCTCCGCCCCGACCACTTTAGTCCGCGTCGCGACGCACACCACCTCGCCCCCTCCTCCTTTCCGCGCTCCCAGCGCCCCAGTGGGACCTCCGCCCCGTGCCCCCTCCGCCCCGACAATGTTATTCCCCGTCGCGACGCACACCACCTGCCCCCCTCCCCACCTGGGATTCGGGCCCCGCTGCTGGGCCCCGAGGGGCGATGTCTTGTCCCCTCTTCCCCCCTCGTCCTCCACTTCCTCCTCCTCCCCCTTCCTTTCTGTGCAGGAGCCATGGCACACGTGCCACTTGTTCCTTGAATTGTTGGCCCAAGTTATTGGCACCACCCGAATTGTTTGGCATTATGCTCTCATGTTCAAAGATCCACTAGCATCGGCCATTCGTTCATTGTTTGCACCAAAGTCCGTTCGCACCGTATCTTCGCATGCCACCTTCATTCCCAGAGCTTAAATTATTTGTTTATGGGTTTGATGATCCCGCTGGAAATTGGATTGGCAGGGCTTGTTCCATGTTTTCGAGACGCCCCCTCGTTTTGAACAGCAAGGCGTGCACTTGTGTCATCTCCTTCGATGTTCCGATTTTGGCATCACGCATTTGATAGTTGTCATGTCTCCAGCTCTGTCCCTGGCTTTTGGAGCCCAGGTCTGGGGACCAAGACGTCCGGAGCGGCTACATGGCGCATGTCGTCACAATTGTGGAGGGGCAGGGCCAACGATATAAGACATAAGACGGGAGCACCAGGCGTTTGACAAGTTTGGGCAGGAGAATATGCAACACCGAAATGTGGCGTTAGCTACAGAATGGTGCAATGTTACGAATCTGTTGGGGGAATGACATTAAGGATAAGCGTCCACAGACTTGACGTCCACAAGATGGCATCATAATGGAAGGAGTACGATTGGCGAGGTCCAGCAGGGACAATTAGAAACGCAGGTGCGAACGGACAGGCTTGTTTGCCCCAAGACCGTTTTTCCCGGCACATCGACTTAACTGTATGAAGGGTGTGGACCCCTGCCGTAGGCCCCTCTTCTTGATTAGTTGGGCAAGTGGTTGCTGGCAGGTTGATTGGTGGATTGACTGACTGATTGCTTCGTTGTCAGGCTGGCAGCTTGCCTGGTTGGCTGTCTGGCAGGAGGCTGGTTGGCTGGCTGGCTGGGCGGCTAGCTGCTAGTTGCTTCTTTGGTGGGATGGCCGGTCAATTTGTCGGTGTTCTGGCTGGCTGACTGGACGATCGGTTGGTCGGTGCACTGCAGGGAGGGTAATGATGACGATTATGATGGTGATGATGATGATGGAGTATGATGGTGATGATGGTGGTAATAATTGTGATGGTGATGATTAGGAAGAGTAGGAGGAGGATGGTGGTGGCGATGACGATGATGATGATGATGATGCTGATGATGATGATGACGATGATGATGATGATGGTGGTGGTGATGGTCATGATGATGATGCCGATGATCATGACGGTGATGGTGGTGGTGATGGTGATGATGCTGATTATCAGGATGATGGTGATGATAATGATGTTGATGATGGTGATGATGATGGTGATGTTGATGATGGTGATGCTGATGATGATGATGATGATGATGATGATGATGATGATGATGATGATGATGATGATGATGATGATGATGATGATGATGATGATGATGATGCTGGCATGATCGTCATCGTCATCGCCAGGGGAGAGGAGCGAGCTGTGGGGGCGGGGAACCAGGGCGGGAGCCAGGACGGGAGGCACGTGGTGGCAGGGCAGGGGCACCAGGGCCAGACAGAGGTGCCCAGGCGGAGGTGCCCAGGCGGTGACCGCCTAGGGGCGTCCAGGGGGCCCCCGGTGCCATGGGTCTCGGGGGTCCCTCTTCGGGGGGTGGGAGGGGAGGAGGGTTTGCCCCCCCGCCCCCCCCCCCGCCCCCCCCGCTTGCAAAAATGTAGAACATCATTGATTCTACCGTACGTACAGAGGTATACGCATATACGTATACAGATGTAGGTATATAGATGCCTCCGTACGTACATGCATGCATGCATGCATACATGCATACATGCATGCATACATGCATGCATGCATACATGGACATACGCATGCAGACATACAGACATACATACATACGAGTGTAGGTACATGCATACAGACGTACACGCATGCATGCATAGTCCTATGCAGCCACAGATACGAACAGAGTCATGTGCATAAATAGACATCTACAGAAGCAGATGCATGTGCACATACCTATGCATATATCTGTGCATAGACCTGTTTATGAATGGATGCACGTGTACATGCACGTATACGAATACGCTTATGTGAGTGTGAATGTCTACGTATACATAACATGTACGTTCATGTTTACATGTACGTAAACATATGCATGTTTGCGCGTATGTGCACCCATATCTCGACACGTACGCATACACATACACATACGCATATGTACACACATAACCATACAGATACCTTTACATGTGCATATACGTACGCATGCACATGTACATGTGCATAAAAAGAGAGCCATATACATAAACACAAATACATATCCATCTACATACACATACCTACAAATGCTGCACCGACATGTTCCGGTTCATTTACGTTTACAGCGCGGGGAATTGCGCCTCCTCCCCCGATCGAATTTCGGCGTCCACGGGTCTTCTGGACGCCTATGCTGAGCATCTTTTCGGCCTTCCGAGCCTCGTGGACGCCCTTTGTCAGGCCCAGAGATTGGGCCCAAAGTTGTGAGGGGGGCGGCCAAACGGCCCCGCAAGGGCCACAGGCGATACGAGACACCCCCCGGACGACCGAAGACGCCCCAACCAAACCGGAGTAGGCATTCAAAGTTTCAAGAAAGCAGATGATCCGTATGTTATTACACGATTCGGGGACATCCGCTTCTTCGGCCGTGTCAACGTCCGAGACCGCAAAGGAGGCCCCCCTAAAATCGTTCCAAGTTGGGCCAAAAAGGTGCCAAGACGGCCTACAGGAACCCCTTCCGTAGCCATTTTGATTCAAGCTTTGGGCTCAGTGATTGTCTCAGGCGGGCGGTGTCGTCGCCCACAGAGATCTGGATCAATCATTCGCATTCCCAGCAATCTTGGCCCGCCAGCCCCGCCCCCGTCGCAGCCCCGCGATGGCCGCCGCGGCGGATATTGCGGGCGGCGACCCCCTGCTGTCGGCGGGAGAGCAAGTGCCACTTGGCACGACGCCAATCGAGTCGTCTTCTGTGACGCCCCTGTATGAGAACGACGGCGCACAGCGGCGCCGTTCGTGCAGGCTCGCGTGGTGACTCGCTGGGGTCTTTGCCGTACGGCCGTCCAGCGTGCCACGAGATGCTTCCGCAGACTGGCCAACCGCCAGCAATGCTGAAATGCAGGCCACCGGGGCCTTCAATGACATACGTAGCAAAGGCCGACGTATACCTCCCGTGGAATAAGCCGAAGGGGCACCGCCTCGGGCGCCGTGTGGCACAGCTTGTACTTCCGCCTTGAATTCCTGAAGAGCCACAATATTTCGGGTCAGGCATCGTTGTCGCCCATCGCTCCTCTCTCCCAGCTACTTGCAGCCAGAGGGGCTCGATGCAGGATATGATACTGTTTGGTTTGATGTGTTTTAGTATGTTGAGTAATGGTCTGCACGTAGAAGACGGCTCCCTCGATATCACCAGCTGGGCGCTACGGCGTTGCGCGCCTATCCCCGTGGTCGGGACAGCTCTGCTGAGGTCGGCAGGGCAATTTTGCAGCGGATGGGGTGGAGGGCAGGCACTGCGCTGGGACGGGCAAAGCGAGCTGACGATGGAGAAGCACTGTGAGTTAGCGACAGGTACACGTACCACCTAAGGAGGTATGAGAAGGCTGGACTGGGGTCACCAGCGATGGAGGCCGAGGCAAGTTTGGAGTGCAGGAGCAAACTGTAGGACATCCTCATCAAGCGTCGCCAGTCACAAGCCACGCCGTTGGACTGGCACAGGTCGATTCCTTCTTTTTTGGAGAAAGGCAATAACAAGCAGGGCATTGGGGGCAAAAGAGTCACGCATGCGCATTGCTCAATGGGACTGGCCTTTTCATAAGGGAGTCTATTGCAGAGGACACGCGCCGCGCCACCCTTGCTGGACACAGGTCAGGGGGCAACGCGAGTGCCTGCGTCGAAGTTACACAATGGAGAGCGAGGCAGGCAGGGATCAGCACCATTGCCAGCAACTACGACTGCACCAACGCCTTCGCGAACACGAAGCGCAACCTCCTGCTGGCCTCGGCCTCTGCCGCATCGAAGGAGGAGGACCAGCCCTTCGCAATCGAGGCGATGAACTATGCGGCGCCGGGCATGAAATGCGCCGACGACTGGGCCCGCGCGCTGACCGCCCAGGGCGCGCTGATGGTTACTCTGCGCCCACGGCAATTTAATGATGCTTACACTACATATACGCGGGACAATGGCAACAAGAGAAGAGGGAGAGGGGCGAGTCACGGACGGGGCACGACACAACGAACCCTAGTACGGAGCGGGAGCACGATCTCTCGCTCAACACGCTCATGGACGACATCCCCAAGATCCACGCGGTGCCCCCACCGACCTCGACGCAGGAGAGGACTGGCGCTAGCGAGGGCATCTCGGAGCACCAGCCAGCTCTGGGCGAGAACGGGGGCATCTCGGCTCGTCAGGGCGCACCTCCAGCGAGGCAGGGGGGACCCAATCGCAGGCGCGCAGAATTGCGGAGCAGATCAACGCCATCACCGAGCGCCTTGAGCGCAACTTGGCCTTTGGCGGGTGGAGTCTCAACCCAGCCAAGACCAACCACCCGGCTTCTCTTCGGGGCCCAGGGCGAGACGGGGCTACGCGCCAGCTCCAACGGGAAGCACGGCGCAAAGGCACGTCGACGAGGGAGAAGCGCGCGCCGGGGCCCCAATTGCTCGGCGATCGAAGCTACGCAGGAGGACCCGACGGAGGTGCGAGGCCGTGCACATAGCCCACAGGCAACGCGGGCTCTTCTGGTTTTCCGATACGTCGACAAATTCAAGAAAGACAGGTTCCAGGCCACTGTTTCGGGCGCGGGCTTCAGTGGACTGTTGGCCACTGTATTCGAGGACCGCGCTTCGGCGCACTGGACCACACAATGACAATGCTGATGAGACGGATGGCTGGAGGCATGACGAGCTGGACCCGAGAGGATGGATCGACCAGGTGCCATTCCAACGATGAGGTATTCAAATGGTGGAGGATGCCGCGCTGCGCTACCTCATTGCGAATCCGCAGGCTACGACGGCACTTGCCATGGGCACGGCGCCCAGGGGACTTCGGCAGTATATTAGCGGCGGTATTTGGAACATCGAAGCTGGATCATATTTGCGGAATCGACGGACTGGAAAATTGATGAGCACGGGCGGCGCCCACGCCCCGGGCCCAGCCGGTCGGCGAAGATTTTCAGGCGCCGGCGGAAATCAGCGAGGACGTTGCGAACTGGCACCCGCAAAGGCATTCCTACATCCCCACGCCCCAAGCTGGCACACGGGATTGGGAAGCTTGGTTTGGCACGGACTGCAGTATACTTCGCCACGCTAGACAGACACGGGACGCCACCCTGCCAGAGGTCCCCGAAAGGAGGCGATCTCCCCACCCCATGCTGACGCGACCGGGAGCAGGGTGCTGAGGGACCGGTGCGCGGGGCACAATTTGCAACCGCGGCGGCGCTGGCGGCGATC